ACTGAAAAAAGACTGGAAACTTTTATTATATATAGCAACATACTGAACATAATCGATGGTTTCATTTTGGCAATCGAGGTTTTATTACAGATTCTTATATGATAAACCAAACAACTTTTACATTTACCAATCGCTTATGCTAATTAGCCATACATTTCTAGGTATTTGCGTTTTATCGCAATCGTGTCAAAATATAAATTGTATTGATAAACAGAAAAGAACACAAAAAATCATATACGGGCGCCATTTTTCTAAGGTGTTTCTAAGTGTTGTTTAATCTCTCTAGACTATCTCTCATCAACGGCTTATTGTAGATTGGTTGAACAATGAACGTGTTATTTATAGCTATAATAACCACGTTGATCGATGCTTGGGCGAATTTTAAGGTTTAAATCAGGAAGAGAGAGGTAGAAAGAGGCGTAATCTTGTGGCAAGTTCCTCACCTCCTACGCGCTGAATTGTGTTTCGATTCCCCGTCCATTCTCCACACCGATTTTTTATTTTTAACTCATTGATGTATCCCTTTAAAGGAGTACAGGCTACAGTGAAGCTGTAAAGGAAGGACGTTTGTTTATTTCCATATTTCTGAATGTAAGCTTATACTAGATTTTACATACATGTTTATTCCAAGTGTTCTACTATATATTGTATAGATTCATCAGGCAGTTTTCAGTGTATTATTAGCAGAAAATCCCCATCGACCACGTAATCACGTGGTAGGATAGAAGTGATATAAATACACCCTCTGCAGCTCACAGCAATTGACTAGCTTATATTCACCACTAGCATAGTTCATAGCAAGTGGTGACATCTAATTAATAGATGATTAATCAATTTTATATATGACTTGTAAAATGCCAAAAATCTGAAGTCGCTCTTTTGAGAGGCCCTCTATTGGATGAATGTGTATAAAATGTCAGAGAATATCTCGAAAATGGGACACGATTTAAGAATGAATTATTTTCGAATGTTTCTTAAAAACATATTGAAAGGATTTTTTCATGATATGCTCATGACATATCCCTGTATGCTTTGTTTGTCTTTTTTCTCAAATTGACCCACGGAAATATGCAATACATCAAGTTAAAAAAGTGGTACGAATCATAAAAGCGACGTTGGGTGGTTCACTAGTAATTTTTTGATGGAAAATCTAGAAATATTACCCAAATTAATTTAATACTATTCAAAAGAAGACATTCAAATCTATATTATGTAAAAAAATCAAATTGGTCAGAAGCAGGGATAACGCTCAATTAGAGTGATGAACTTCGTTCTCCAAACCGAGAATCATCCTTTTACTTAGCAATGCTTAGAACATGGGCTGAAGTAACCCATCATGATGTCAATAATTGGAATGATGTTAAAGATGAAGTTATATGGAATAATAAAAACATTTTAGTCAATAATAAAATGGTGTACTATAAAACATGGCATCAAGCAGGTATTGCAACAATTTATGACATCCTAGACAGAGATAATAACTATTTATCCCTGACAGAACTTGAACGAAAATTCAACATTCCTATAGACTTTTTGAAGTATGCCAGCATACTCAGTGCTATTCCCAAAAAATGGAAAACTCTTAAAAATAGCACATTGAAAAACAACCCTTCAAAGAAAAATGTTCCTAACCCTAGTCAATTGTCGTGTAAAGCTATTTACAACAAAATCCTTGAAAAAGAAATCGAGAAACCCACATCACTAACAAAGTGGATACAAAATAACAATGTAAATGAAAATGACATGAAATACTATTATACACTTGCAAAAAAGGTTACATATGAAACTAAAATGTGGAGCTTTCAGTACAAAATACTTACGAATACACTAGCGTGCAACCGTAAATTAAAAATGATGAACATTTCACAGACAGACAAATGTCCATGGTGTGATGATACTCATACCATGGAGCACTTGCTGGTGAAGTGTAGAATAACAAAAGATATATGGAAGCAATTTATTGAATGGTGGAAACTAAATAAAGAATTAAATCTAACTGAAAATGATATTTTATTAGTTATTATCGGGAATAGAGAAAAAGGGGCAGAACTAAATCTGTGCATACTAATTATGAAATATGTCATATACAAATCTTTTTTAGAAAATGAATTACCGTACTTTTTCAAATTTACCAATTATCTGAGAATATATTTGAACAGTGTTAAGCTGCTTGATCAAAAGGGTGTAGACATACATGCTTTATATAGACTTTTATGAATACACAAATAAATTCTTATTTTACAAATTTGTGTCATAGTCAATGTATGAATAGTGGGTGAATGAATGCATGCACAAACGTAATGAATGGGTGTGAATGGAGTCAGTAAGATCATGTAATAATTTTGTGTTATTATTACTATTTAAAATGATTTATAGACATAGTACATATATCTATATGAAAGAACTACTTGTATTTAATGAAGCTTGTACTTGAATTGTATTAAATTATTACTTGAATAAAAAAAAAAAAAAAAAAATATGAAGACAATTATGAAGCAGAAATACAATGCCGTAAACTGTATGTTTGGTCTGCCAGATTATTTGTATAATCTAATTCTGCTCATAATAGTGTCATGTCTCTAGATTTCTAATTAATTAGCAAGTTATGTTACTTGATACACTCTACCATAGCACAATAACAATGACACCATTTTCAAGAACCATTTTCCTCTGTTATATTGCCATTGTCAAAATAAACAGCTCCCCCCCACCTATATCCATCTGCTCTTGTTTCCTCTTAAATGAATGGAATAAAGAGGCAGTTATTCTTACGCTTTTATGAAGATAGATTAGCCAGAAAATACATGCTATGTCTAATTTGCTGTGTACCATCTCTGTAATTGTTCTGTATAGCATTATACCCTTTGCATTCATTCAATTTTGCTTCTTACTTCTTAAAAGAGAGCTTCATCTTCAGCTTTAAACTAAACTCCGGGTGTAAGGTATATAGCCAAAGAGCATGTTAAGTAGGGGATCATCACAAAGTATCAAGCATTGATAAAAATATAACCTCCTCAATCAAGAAAAATAAAATACTGATGTCAGTCTGATTTGCTGTCATTAATATTCACCCCTTAAGAAAAAGATTCATGTCATAGATAGGGGTATTGACAAATAGTTATCTCTTTGTCTGGGTACTTCACCTAGTTAAAAATCAGGTCATGAAAAATAGGGACACTCTACTTCACCTCCATATACCTCTACAAGGTCTCAATAGGTGAAGTAGATAGGGGTGAGATTCTAGAGACTTGATCCAAGACTTATCAGTAGATATGGGGTGAGATTCTTGAGACTTGATCCAAGACTATCAATGGCAGATCTGGGAGTGTAGAAAATTGGGCTTTTTAAAAAACGAGTTGGATTTTCATGAAAACAGATCTTACATTCTATTTCCTGGCAATATTAGATAAATTTCTCAGTTGGAATAAGTAAAATTGTCTGTACCAAAGGGCAGAAAAAATGCTAGAATAGGACTGCTTTTCCTTGGTATGGTAGCACAATGTACATGTAAACACTTAAGGGCAGGCTTGGTCTTATACCTCATGTCTGAATATGGTAAAATGTGAAGGGAAGGGGCCTTCACAAGGGCTTTTGACAAGATGGAACAGGACTTTTTGATTTCAGGAAATATCCTTTCAACTTCATGTTTTGATTCTTCTTGTAATCAATTCTGAGATCTGTTATGTTACGGTATACGACATCATGGCTCGATAATAGATATTCATAGCAAACAAAGAACTTCTAACTCATGATATGCCTGTTGCTAAATTGACATCAGTGGTGTCAGTATGACATTCCTATTATAAATGGTGTCAGGTTGACATCCGTATCACTCTGGGGGCATTAGTAATATTTTAATTGAACGAAATAGTGAAGAAAATTACAAGATATTTTGTGATGTATTCATTAGAGTACCATAAATCATATCAGCAAAACAGAGAAACCACTCATTGATAATAGAAAGCTTTTGAACATTGACGAATTGATTCTGTTACAGTTGTTGATTTTTAGATTCACAAAAATTGATTTACCTTAATTATTGAAATTTGAGATTTGTTATTATTTTGATTTTAAGTTATTCATGTTTTTTCTCCAGTTCGTGTTAATTTGCTAATATCTCTAATATGAGTAAATTAACAGATGTTACGTGAGTGTAATACCAGGATGTACTCTCTGGCCTCATATAAATTGATCCTAAAATTTACAATCTGCTCAATGTCTAACTATGTAGTAAGTTCGGATTCAGAGACCTTAATCACTGTCTTGTCTTGGACAGATTTTATTTCTTTTCTTGAGACTGCTCTAATACATTTGTAAGAATATATATTGGAGTAACACATCAATGTTCTCCATAGGATTTTTTCCAAAGTGGGGGTAAAATTCTCATTTTCACAATTCAGACCGAAATTGGTCAAAATATGCCCATTTTACATGGCTTTTCTCATTTTCAAGTGGGTTCAAATGAATTCTCAGGTGAGTGCAAGCCTGTTCTAATAAATCTCAGATGGGTGCTGCACCCACTTGATTTAATGCTCTGGAGAGATCACTGCATATTGTTATGAAATATCACCGCCTTATATCAGTTCAGTTAAGGACAGTCCAAGGTACAAAACAGAAAGGTGAATGGTGATGAGTATCAGAATGCACACAAACCATATATAGGACAGAGCAACCTAATTGCAACAATAATTGGCATCTTCACTTGGAAGGTTTCAGATGCTCCAACTTGTATTAAACCATCTTGGATTAAGAGGAGGGAAAACCCCAGAATAAATAAACCCATCACTCGATAAAGAAAAACCTCTCAAGTTCATCTTAACATTTCTGAACTTGAGGTATTTCCTCCTCTTTAATTGGAAGTTGAATATGAATATGTGAACTGCAGTCTCTGTGTGGAACCCCAACCGCCATTAGTTTCTGTATAATATATGTAATGTAGTGTAGTGTAATACTATTACATAGTTCATTGATGAGTATCTTTTTTATTTTTATATTTGCAGATGCAGGCAAAGCGGACAGACAAAGATGGAAATGTGAATGTTCTACTACGTTGGAAACCAGAGAATGTGTATGAAATAAAACTTTGAGTATTCACCTGGAACATATTAGAGCTTCAGATTCTTTAATCTTTTCCTTTTGGCACTAACATATCCTTTTTCAAGATAATGTTATTGTAATTGAGTAGAACTGTGACACCAATAATTAAATTTACGAAAGTAACATTTTTGTTAAAAATATGATTCAATACATTCAGAAAATACACATATCTCCCAGACATGTATGTACATGTAAATTATCAATTCTAGCAATTTTTATGGAGGGACTTTTTTCTTGGTTGCAGGATACCAGATGAATGGGTGCAAGAATCTCAGGTGACATCACTATCAAAGCGAACAATACGTCTTCGTGATCTACCTCGTCACTCCATCACCAACCTAGATGCGTCGCTTTATAGGACACACAGACATAGGAAACATCGACGAAAATGATCGTTAATTTCTTGAATTTCAATCAAGTCATCATATCATTAATGTTATATCATTGGAATTTGAGTCGGTCAAAGAAGCATTTCGGCTCAAATCGGGACATATTGATAAAGCCCTTTCGGCCGACTCATTCAACTGTGGATGTTAAATATATAGACCCAAATTCTGTTCAGCAGATGGGACATGTTCATCTTAATATTGGGATCTCAACTTCTATACTAACTAGATTCTCATTATAACCAATGAAGGAAAAACACATTGGACATAGTCTGCTCATGTTCATGATTGAAGTCCCAGGGAGTGTGTATAAACATTGGAATAGCATTACAGTCAATGGAATGGAGAAGCGCCTGGACAAAATGTGCCCATTTATATACACTCGTATAATTATTGCAGTCATTGGTAAAAATCTGTTAGGGCAAAAATGCTGATTTCATACTAAGGAACCTTCAATGGAGCTAAAAAGTGGTCCAGTATTATTGATTGTTGGTTATCTATTGCGGTCATATCATGGAGAATGATATATTGTAGGAAACTTAGATAAACGAAGTCAAAGATTAATGACAGCCATTATAAAGTGATACTATTAATTGAATATGTCTGGGATTAATGCTGCGGTAAAGTGGTGTACATCATTGATTACTGCGGTGTAATACTTGTAGTGTACATATAGGGATTACTGTTGTGGAGTAGCATCCAGGGATTGCTGCAGTCGTAAAGCATACATCTAGAGATTAACTGCATTGGTAAAGTTATCTGGTATTGCTGCAGTGGTAAAGCGTCCATCTAGGATTATTACTGTCGAGAAGCATAAATCTGGTATTGCTGCACTGCAGTAGCGTATACATTGGATTACTGCAGTGCAGTAGCGTACATTTTGAATTACTTCATTCATACAGTGTACATCTGGAACTACCACAGTGGTGATATGTACATCTGTAGCAAATTAGTATTGAATCACACAGTTTCCAATGGGACAAGATAACTTCCAAATGCACTAATGAGTAATGACTATCAACAAATAGCATTTAATTGAAGTACTTACTATCTCTAAACAACAAGAGCTATACAAAACAACTTACAATCAGACAAAGCAACTTTGATTTCAGCCAAATAACTTCCAATTAGACCAAGCAACTCTTGATTGGCCTATACACAATGGTGCTGTAATCTGACTCATATTGTCATCAACTAAAAATGAGATTGTGTACAGTCATGGGAAGCGTGTATGGAAAACATATTTCAAGGATACATGATTGGCTGTTACTTTACTGTCATATATGATCATTTATGAATAGCATCTTATTCCACAAAGCCATATAAGGTTATTTTGTATACCAAACTGGCATGTCGAATAAGTTTTCATATTGTGCCATATTTGGTATACTAAGTTCACTAATCACTAAACTGCCATATATGGGCAATGTCATAGCAGATTTGCATCATTTAAAGTATCAATTTGCCATGATGTTCCAAGTACAATACTGCCATATATGGATGCATTTATATCCAACTGCCATATTTGGTCAGTGGATACTGGTCTAAGCTCAATAAACAGTAACCTAGCAACACTTGTGAACAAACATCTGATACAACATTGAGGCCATTTCACTCTCAGATATATTCAGGGAAATCATATACACTCAATACACTTATGAAATGGCATCAATCATATTTGTAGCACTTTGAGTAAGTTTCCCATATATATGACATGATATAATCATAATGGGTGTTAAGTATGGGAATGGGATGAGGCCCCTTGACATGTGACATTACATAAATGTGCATGTATGTCAAAAGTGATCCCAAGCATGTGATCTTACATTTCATCATGGCACACATAATAATGGGAGCATATCAAATGAGGCCACAAACATGGGACCTCGCATCATGATGGGAGCATATCAGACAAATGGGCTCACACCATGTGAGCCAGTGAGGCCCCCATACAGGTGATATCACATTATATTCTGAATGCATGTCAAATGGGATCCAAAACTTGTTGAATCACAACATAACGAGAGCATGTCAAATGACAACATTTAACTTCATAAAAATCACATCATAGAGGGACCGTTTCAAAACAAGACCCCCATATAATATGAGACATCACATCTTTACACAGGGACCATGTCAAATGAACTATAACACTGCCAATGTGAATACTTATATATACCTCAACTAATGATTAACTCACTTATTACTCAAACAACTTAACTGAGAATGCTTCATAAATATGTGAAAGCAAATGTGAAAATCCTACAAATATACGAATATGTGAAAGCCATAAATGTGAAGGTAAATTAATACATAAATGGCCCAAAATAAAACTGTCTCAAAGTGTGTATGGACAAATGACAACAGCAGAGCATGTTTAAAAGTAGATAATTGCATGCCTGATGAAATGTGAAAATGTGAAACTTCATGACAAATGTGAAAATAAATGTGAAGGCAGCTCTTTGTAGCAACTAGCAAAGGATCACTCATAAACTGAAGAGACATACATCTGGGCATCAGTATATGTGATTGACTGCTGACATCATAATTTGCTGACACCAGCTTGTGCTGACATCAGCCTGACTTAACACCACTCTTAAGCTGAAGCTAAAGAAAAAATTATCAGTATTTCTAAATAAAAGCTCAATGGAGCATTTGAAGCAATCAAATAAATAATAAATTGAAATAATGCACATATTTCACAACTTTTCAAAGATAAGAAATGATTGATGAATTCATTTTCAACTATAAATAAGTGCAATTGTAAATGAAATCTTCGCACAAACTTAAGATACATATATTTTGAATTAAAACAAAGCCTTTGATCGATTGGATATACTGTAGAAGACGGGACATGTCCATAAATACAACATGCATTTATTCCATCATATGCAGATTTTTATATTCAATTAACAATGTGTAGATATGTGCGTAAATGAGACACTAGATGATAGAGAACAGGGAACAGTTTTGACATATTGCTTATTTAAGGGTAAGATCAAAGTATCAGTGTTTCAAAAGGTTTTGACTCCTCCCCCAAAAATGCTGATTCTAAAAAGCTCTGAAATGATGAAAACTCAATAGATCTTTGTAATGAAATGGATAAACCTTCCACCATGGAAGAAGAAGCTGGGACATATCAGCTACAGTGGAACCTCTAGAAGTGTAACTCCTCTATTAGTGGAAGACTTTTTAGAGTTCCAAGACCAACTAGCTTAACGTTAAATGAACCTCTCTGCTACTATGGCATAGTCAATCTAGCGAATATATCCTAGCTACTTTTCACCAAAAGATGATGGGGATGATTGGAAGGGTCTATTGTGTCACAAAATGAAATGGCTGCTTTTGATGGATATTGATATCTTGACCAGACCTCTACATTGCTGACAAAAATCATTTATTGATTCATTGATTATCATAGGGTACAATGTCTTCTTGTGATTGTGTAAAATGAGAAACCTGAAATTTGATTAGGAGTCTCTGTTATAAATTGTGACTTTTGAGTGATGAGGTATTTCAGGTCAAAATTGAGTAACTCAAAAGCCACAGATCAACAGATTAAATAAAATGGATGAAAACAGACACATTTTCAAGGAAATTGAAATTTTAAAATGAAATTGCCAAACAACGGGTCATTTTTAAAAAAAAAAGGTTTACAGTGCAACTAATGAAAGTCGTTGTATCCTATGGTTATTTGTCATTTGATTTTACCATGTAAGTTGTAGAACAGTGTGTTGTAGATGCTTGTATAACTGTGGTCAATTTGGTGCTTTTCAATAAATCTCCCGAACTCCCATGCAGTGTCTCGGTATAGACACTGCGGCGGGCAGATGAAGAAAATCCCCAAAATTTGGGGAAAATAGTTCCCCTTTTCATCATATATGTGGTCAATTTTCACACAACTTATAAAATATGTATTCATGAATGTTCCCCAATGTTATTTTGTCAAAATTTTTCAAAATTATTGAAATATGAGAAGAAATCACCGCGGAAGGAAATCTGAGTAAAAGTTGTGTTGATAATAGTTTACCGCATGTGTTGTTTATTAGTTAATACGCGCAATTCAACCAATGAAATTGTCTAAATTTTACAATCACGCGATCTGAGCATGGGACTAGAACCAATCACGTCAGTTGTTTATTACGAAGTAACCATGCTTACGGTGAGATACCTGCCCGCCGCAGTGATATTATCACTGCACGGGAGTTCGTAAATCTCCATTCTAATACTTATCACATTATATTATATTCATCTTGCGAATGTGAGGTGCTCTGATTAGTATTGATTAAGGTGGTTTCTCCTTGCAGTTACTTTTTCAAAATAACTTGTATAGCATACGCACGGATAATTTTTCTTCCCACTCTATAAATATTTTATCTACCAAAAATGAATAGCTTTTGAGTTCCATTGTAACAAAATTCTCCAAATTGGAGCACCAAATTGACCATGGTTACATAGTAAAAGCATATTTTGTGTATTAATACAGTACATAGATGTTACAACTTACAGTATTAGCATTGCTATTAATTAACATAAACTCTGCAATACATTTTGATCAGTTATAGTCCATTAGTCTATGAAGGTTTTTTGTATTAAATTGTGAAGAATTTAGCTAGGTTGTGTATTTTATTTTAGTTTATACTACATGTAAGTCCATTCTGTGAAAAATCTAAGGATATTTGCATTACTGGACACAAATAAGCACAAAAATGCCTAGAAATTTTTCCATTTGATAATATGGACATACTATGTTTTCTTTGGTATTTTGAAGGATACTAATTTACACTTTATCGAGGGCTTAGTGTGTGTCCTGTAGGGTTTGGTTTGTGTCCTGCAGGGCTTAGATTGTGTCTTGTAGGGTTTGGTTTATGTCCTGTAGGGCTTGGTTTATACTGTAAGCATGAGCAATGGAAGTTGTATATTTAATATATTTGATCTCGGTTAAGTGTGTACATGTATATAGCATAAGTGTGGGTAATGTTTTGTAGATAAACCTATTTTATATATGTATAACCATAATTATATTATTTATTTTGACTGTAAGTAATTTAATCAAACTTAAGAAAATGATATAACTGACATGATTAATAGCATCATTCTTGCTATCAGATTTGTCCCTGTATGTGTGTGGACCATATTCAGTTAAGAGCTATTGTTGTGTTATTATTCTATTTCACTACATTTTGATGACATTAGAAATTCATGCTCTTATGCATGCGTTGTGCAGTACTTTTTACAATAATGAAATGCATGTAGTGTTATATTAGTTATGGATGTAGCATTTGTCACGCCCAGTAAGCGGGGGTGCAAGTGTAGGTGCAAAAGCTGCAATTCTGATGCATCAGAAATGTTTAGATGGCGCCGAACACTTCAAAAACTGAAAATGAATCGGGGAGGGCACCTGTCCGTTAGTTGGTTGACCTTCCTTGCTTGGGGAATACCATTTCCAAATGTACATCCATGGTAGCATGAGATTAAATAAACAGTAGTGTAAATACGATATGATTCAATGTCTTTTCCTTTCTACTGTATTTATGAATTCAATTCCACATTTGATTGGATCACAATGTCCATGACACACCTCAAACTTGTTTCAATTTCTGTTATATTCATCATGACACACCACAAAGCTAAGATTACCAATTGTATTAGTTATGATTTGTGACCAATCAAATGAAGAATTACTTTCTCCAAAAAGCATTGACTCGGTTACCTTGGTAACATGATATCAATGAATTTGGAGAATTTAAACATATGTGATTATAATTAATAATTTGATACATGCATGTATTTGTAAAGTGATTTTTACTGCACTGTAGAACACTAAATAGTAAGTTCATACAAATGAGCTACGTTTACACTGATAGAGTTGTCCGATGTATTTTACATGTGTACATGTATATTTATGTATCCCTTTTCACTTGTAGCAAGGGTAGATCTTGAATCATGTAGAATTGTTGATTATAAATGAATAACTGTAGATACACTTAATTTGACGCTACTTAATTTGGCGGATTTGCTAAACTTGAAATATTGGCAGCTATTTAATTTAGTGGAGTCAGGACTGAGCTCAACTTTTATCATTGATCTCGAAATAAGTATTTCAGATTCATGTGTTCTTCTTACTTTTAGTCTTGGTATGGCAGTGGCATCCAAATAGGAATACAAGTGAAATAATTGCAAATTACAAATTCCCCGAGGATTTTCCAAAACTGATCTGAAAAATGGCGGACTTTCTGTCAAATTAAAATGGTAGCCAAATTAAGTGTATCTACAGCAAAATACCTGAAAAATAAGCAATCAAAGTCCCATAGTGACATAGTATGTGTAAAAATACATTCATATCTTAGATACATAGTGTTTGTATATTTTGGATTACCTTGTGATTTTGCTTACAAATATGTGGTTCAGTAAGTTTTCTGCACATTAAACAAATTATCTCAAATACAAAGATTTTGTATCTAAAATACATATTTAAAAGTACTCAAAAATGTATTTTTCCATATTATATTGCTCTGTGTTCCCCTGATTGCTTATTTTTGAGGTTTGATTGACTTACAAAAATGTGATTTGGACTAACATGTGGGTCATGTTCTCACTGGAGGATGTAGTCATAATTTGAGGCCTTTTAAGTTAGTCTTGCGTCAGCCCCATGCCCCTCTTTTCATATTCTCTATCAAAGCTTGCGTTAGAAACAGAAAAGCTCCTTTGAATCAAGCTTATTTTTGTATCCAGTATCAACGTCCTCAACCTATTGTTTCCACCTGTTTAAAGGGACATGAGAGGACTTGATTTAAAACTTTCAAAATTAAAGTTTTAGCTTGCAAGAATGTACAAGCAGGTGTAAAAGAAATTATCGTCCCCTGGGGATTATGGTCCCCTTTCCTTACGGCCCTTACTAGCCCTGACTATGTATAAATAATAAGGAAAATAATTGTAATTAGGTCACCATATAAATCAATAGAGAGTAGGACCAAAATTTGATAGGACCACCTACCCTTTTACACCTGGTATTAGAGGTTGACGCCTTCCATTACAGTTATACTTACTGGAATCTACACCTCTGAGTAGGAAGATGGGGAGGGAGGACCAGGAAGATGGGGAGGGAGGAGCAGGAAGATGGGGAGGGAGGACCAGGAAGATGGGGAGGGAGGACCAGGAAGATGGGGAGGAAGGAGCAGGAGCTCATACAAGACTAAAGGAATCAAGTTAGATCAAACATCTGATGTGAAACTCTCAAATTGTGTACAACATCATAATTTGAATCTATTTTCAATAGTTGTAGATGTTTCATTCTCTACTGAGCTTACTTGGCTACAGCAGCTGTATTGGCAGCTAGATAGTTTTGTACAAAATAAACTAAAATAATGAATTTTAAATTTCTCATGTTTATTTTTCAATACACATAAATTAAGCAGCTATGGAAGCATGTAACAGAGCTGTCACATTTAGCCCATGTGGCTCACCGTTCGTCACCATGTGAATACTTTGGGGCAGACGGTAGAGCGCAGCATGGATATACAATGGTCAAAACAAATAGTTCTACAGCAAGATATCTTCCTTCACACCTAACACAAAGATTAATTAAAACATTAATACCAAAATTACCCACGCGCTTACGATCGAAGTCCCACGGGGCTAATGTGACAGCTACTCTTGTGGCAATGCCGGGGACTTGACTATTCCACAGTCAGACTAGACCCAAACCTAGATATTTTCTCTTAGTGGTTAGTGTCCAACATGCCCAAAGGACCCTCTAACACCCACCAAAGTTCATTGATTAGTCTGATCTAATGTGAAAACAGTTAAAAAATTATGCCTCTCTGCCCATCCTAAATCACAATTTGTTAAAGTCGCTATTATCTCTTCAATGTCATCTTCAAACAACATAAAAGACCTCGATCTCATTGGTAGATCACCTGCTTTGACGAGAGCATCAATTGTATTGGAATACTTTGTGTTTCGACACACGCGTGTGGTTTGCTGGTGTATCCGGCGTCTCGCTTGCCGTTGAAGGTTTGGTCGTTTGAGGTTCTCTAATATCAACTCCAGTTGGGGATGTTTGCCCTTGGTAATGTGCTTCTTGATAGCAATTAACTGTTCAGTAACAAATGGAGCTCCATACAGAGCAAGGATACAGATAGCTGCATATATTTCCATTCCAAATGCAAAAGACATTGCAGTCTTTCCATTGTGATTAACAGCGTTGGTATCTGCACCATTCGCTAACAACAGTACAAGACAAGCTGGATTTGCACTATTGAATACAGAACGCATAAGAACCGTGTCACCATTTAGATCAGGTTTATTGACATCGGCGCCTTTCTTGATAAGCAACCGTACTGAATCAGGATTGTCGTAGCATACAGCGTAAAATAGTGCGTTCATTCCGGGATTGATACAAGCGTTCACGTCAGCACCATGGCCCAATAACGCTTCCATGGGTGCTATCGTGTCAAACCTTGTCGATCGCATGAGTGCAGTGAGTCCTCTTATATTTGATGCGTTTACATCTGCCCCCTTGTCAACCAGCAGACACATACATTTAGATTTTGCGTGTATTAAAGCTGTCGCCCCGTCATTATCCCTAGCATCAATATTAGCACCATATGCAATGAGCAGATTGGCGCATTCTACTGAATCATTTACTGATCCTGCATACATCAGTGCAGTCTTACCATTGTTGTTAACAGCATTTACATCAGCACCATGATCAAGCAATAACTTCGCACAATTTGTTGCATTATTACGCACGGTATATATTAGTGCGCTATGACCATATTGATCGGCTGCATTGATGTCCACTTCTTTTTTGTCAATTAGTATCTTTAATGTTTCATTGTTCATAAGTACTTTTTGAGACTCCAATTTGGCCCATTCCACGATGGCAAATCTTGCCATCTTAATCATGTTAAATCCAATCAAAAATGTTTTTTTCTATGATGTCCTATTTTCTAGTTAAATTCTGAATTTATTCTCGAAACTCCGAATTGGTCTCCTATCTATGATTACATATTTTAACCCTATTAAACATACATAGTGGTTGTATAATTAATTAATTTCATTTCCGTTACCATGATAATTCGGTCCTGCATCTATTACATACATGTAAACGCATGCAAGCGTATATATGTTCGGGAGTCAATGTAATATCCGCCAGTATTTTGGCACTTGCGATAATGTTCGCTTTCTCCAAAATAAAACTTTCTACTTTCGGGATACAGGGAGAGCAGAGATGGCAAATGTTTTGTTACTCTCGTACTCTTGTCATCATCATGTAGGATTCCCAGTCTGGTTTCACGGCGAAGAAATGGAAAAATCGTTTTTACTTGTAAAATGTCTATCCATCATCAAACATATAATATAATGCAATATTATATCGACAGAACGAAAGTATATTTCACATCATGAGAACATAACTTCTAAGTATAACAATAAATGCCCACATAAGACAATTTTTATCATTTAACACCTGATTGTATTATCGATGAATTACACCGTTGCCCGTAATTATGGAACATTTTCACAATTTAAAATTACAGATAAAGAACTTGAAATTCAAATCAAGGAGAGGGGATGGAAGGAACATTTAAGATTCAAAAATACAGAAACGTATAGATAATTTGGGCCGACCTTTTCGAGAAATTAATTTACTATTCATCTTCTTATGATTCCCATTTAATAATCTTATATTCCATATTACATAGTAGATTCGCAACAATGTAGGCCTGGAGGGTATATTACCGAACGTGAGGGAATCGCTGAGAAAACTCAATGGCTAGCATTTATTAAAGATAACAGATAAAGCGTAGCATTTATAAAAAGATATCAGATAATAAGCAACATTTGTTAAAGATATACTGACATGAAAGATTTATCTTTAAAATAAATAGCGGAAATTTTATCCCTGGGTATTTCACCCCTAAGACGTTTTGCCTCCAGAGGTTTCCTAAAAAGGCACTCCAAGGATGTATCGCCACCTAAAAAGTTTGATATCATATTAATATGCAAAAACCAATTATCAGTAGGTTATCTAAATAACTTTAAAAACGATCTATAAGTAAAAATAATAATCAAAAAGATTCAGATTAGGGTCAACTGTCGTTTTTATAAGATTCATGTTTTTCTAGAGAGATTATGCTTTAAAATGATATTTAGAGGATATCCTATGATTTTTGAGGGATATCATTTTTATCCATGAGTGGATATCGCTTATCTCCACGAGTGAGCGCAGCAAATGAGTGGAGATGGGTGATATCCATGAGTGGATATACAAATGATAGCCCGAGTAAATTATAGGATATCCTATTAATCCTATGGTTGTTGTTTTTGCTTTGAATAATTTTACAAGTATAAGTGAGTAATCATGTTTCAAGTAAAGCCTACATAATGCCCCCATAATGATTCACAATAAAATCAGTGTAACAACATAAAATTGAAAATCTCTGAAAAGGCGTTATACAAAGTGCATGCAAACATTTGAATCATTTTGATGAGCACATATATAATTCTTGGAACTATATTCTGGCAATCCAATTAGGCAAGGCAGTTATTTGTCAAACCATTTTCGGCGCCAAGCTTATGAAAAAAATTGTATCCGTCGGATACGATTGGATATCACATATATGTTATATATGGATCGGATACGATTTTAGTGGCGCATACCAAAAAAATCTTGTGTTATTATCCCTGTATATATGTATACTACAGGGTGTCCCGAAAGTATGCCCCCCCCCTAGGCAGACATATTCCAGTTTCCTCATAGTATGTGTCATATATCATTTTAAAGCTTGTCCAAAGTTACATTGATTTGCCAAGTATCATGGTTTAACTCCCAAATGGGAAAAAGTTACAGTCATTTTAAAAGTTAGTGTTTTGTCAAAATAAAGTTCGATTTCACACCACATTACTAGTCAATGTGTCCCCCTTGGCCATGTTAACAGCGGCAATTATTTTCAGATATGACCTCAAAAGCCCTTCAAATAGGAGTGTGGAATTTTATAACCCTCTTAAAACCTGTTAGGGGACTTTAGAAGAGTTTTCTTAGAGTTTCTACCCTCACCGTTCTCTTTTTCCAACTCAATATCCATCCGACCCGAAAAGAATTGCTGCTGTTAAGATGGCCCGGGAGGACACATTTACTAGTGATTTGGCGTAAAATTGAACTTAATTTTGACCAAACACTAAATTTTGAAATGCCTGTAACTTTTTCACATTTGAGAGTTGAACCATGATACTTGGTGAATCAATGTAACTTTGGATATGCTTTAAAATGATATATGACACTTACTATGACGACACTGGTATATGTCTGCCTAGGGGGGGCCCATACTTTCGGGACACCCTGTATATATGTATACCCATGTATATACTATACATACAGAACGTATCAAAAAAACGCAACAAGTAGTTATCTCGTCAAATCACAAAACTAATTTCATTCAATGTACCATAAAGCCACGTCTCTCCTCTTAGCAATGATATGTCATTCATTCACATGTGGTAATGGTTGGGTGAGAAATCCTTCCATTTGCACAGTGGGTCAAAATCAGCTCTGGACCAAGTTTTAGATATTGCAAAAATCGGTGCAAGGGGTAAAGTGCCAGTGGAAGTTCCCCTGACTTGAATTGTTGTGACTTTTTCTTTTGGAGCTATCTCAGGAGCATCTGTGCTCACAATTCCTTCACCAGATATTGCAAAACCTCGAGAAAGAATTCCCCATGGGCTGCTTTTCTCAGCTTTAATTAACCCACAGATGACTCAGGTCTGAACCATGCATGACGTTGACAGATGAGCGCATGTTTATTTGCAAGGAAGTGGTGGCACTTTGGAGGGGGTATAGGATGTATTCTTGCAAGAGTATGAGTATGAACACTTTACTGTCTATGCCACAATTGTCACACTTCTTCCAATCGCCCCTATGCCCCTTGTACTGACTTTTGCTATGTTTGATACTTGAGTCCGAGCTGAATTTTGCCCCACTTTGCAAAATTAATGATTATTCGGCCAGTCATGACTCCCTGTGAATGAATGATATTCCATTGCAAAGAGAAGTAATTTGGCTTTTTGGTACATTGAATATGAAAAAGGATACAGTCAGCATTGGTTTTATGTTTTCTTCCAATATTGCATTGGACTCCGTACACTGACTTTTGCGATGTTTATAACTTGGTCCCAAGCTAATTTTGACCCACTTTGCAAATAGAATGATCACTCACCCAACTATGACCAAATATCAATGAATGATATATCATTGTAAAGAGGAGACACGTGGCTTTATGGTGCATTGAATGAAACCAATGCTGTTATCACTGGTTTTGTGCTTTTCCGAGATAACAATATGTTGCGTTTTTTGATACGCCCTGTATTATCTCCATATATGGCAATTTCAGAAATTCGTCAGTATTATTGTGCTTTTTGCCCCAGTATTGAATGAGTACCAATAATCTCTTTTAAATCATTTCTTTCGGACTTTAGGATATTTTGAATGATAATGCTAAAAGGTAATGCGAAGTTTCATGATCTAATTTGCACGCTGACTTCTTATAACCATCATCTTTCACTTCAGCTCACCCATTTGACATATCGTGTTTGAACTAACATATAATTCAAGTTCAAAATATCCATATCTGGACCGCAGCGGATGCCGCCATTGTTATGTATCAATGATGTCATTGATGCCCACATTTTACTGATATTTTGTCCACTATGTCCGCTTAATATTGTTGCCGCATATATTGTATAGATACATTTAATGCTTGTTTAAATGTATATCTCTTTTATGTTTGTTCCGAAAAAAATATCATGGCCAAATTTCCCGTTACTAGAGATGCCAAAGGATTGCTGCGCACAAAACTATTTATTTGATATAAAGGGATTTTCAAAAATTCAAATATTATTTCAAAAGTAATCAAAAATATGTACTTTTCTATATATGGTATGGAACAATTTTATCGACTTTTCGGAGACCAAAGATTAACTGATTTAATGTTAAAGGAACTTCTATGAGTTGAACACATCCCAAGTGGAACACTTTTAGAGGTACCGACCGTGTTTGACTTAGACAGGTTTTACTGTAATATCACACTGTGTTCCCCCGATTGCTTGTTGCTTATCTAGGTTTCATTGAATTCTCATGTAGTCATAATTTGAGGCTTTAAATAGTCTTGCACCAGCCCCATGTCCCCCTCCCTATATTCAATCACATCCTGTGTTAGATAGCTGTAGTTTCAAGCTTATTGCATAAAGTCAATCTCCTCAACCCACTGTTTCCATGTGTTATTTGGGACACAGGAAGACTTGATTTAAAACTTTCAAAATTAAGGTTTCAACAAAATGTAAAGAATTATAATTGTGACAGAGAAGTTAGTGAGCAATCTATCAACTTCCTTTTATTTTCCCTCAAACATGAAAATGTATGTACATTTGAGTAGGAAAATGGGGAGGGAGGACCAGAGGCCCCGTGCAAGACTAAAGGAATCAAGTTATATCATATTCCGATGCAAAACACTTAAATTATGTACAACATCATAGTTTGAATTTATTTTCAATAGCTGTAGATGTTTCATTCTCTACTGAGCTTACTTGGCTACAGCAGGTGTATTAGCAGCAAGATAGTTTTGTACAACGTAAACTAAAATAATGAATTTTTCATTTTTCATATAATAAAGGAATAAAGACCGAGATTTTATGATTTATGGCGTATTATATGACCAAAAATTTTGTTCTGTTCATTGTTAAAAGACCGAAATCGCGTAGCGATTGAGGTCTTTGGCAATGGCCAGAATAAATTTTGAGGTCATATATTTGACATAAATCATAAAATCGAGGTCTTTGTTACGATTCTAATATGATAAACAGACGAGAAACACATTTTTTTGCATTTATGAATTTTACTGGTCATACATACTCCAATCATAGACCAGTAAATCAATTGTTCTAGCTAGTGTGACGTCACGTATCATATTAGAATAGATAATATATAAAAGAGTTGTTACACTTATCACGCGTGGGCTCACCGTTCTTCACTTACTGATGCACAGACACGGGAACAAGAGTTCATCCCCCTCCAAATCACTATGTACTACTTAGAAAAAATATTTTTTACTGTACACAGTGAGTGTTGAGGGATTCAAATCTTCTTCCTGGCCCTGTGTACTCATGTGTGAATATTTTGAGGCAGATGGTAGAGCACAACAGTAGAGCACACAAATAGTTTTACGGCAAGATATCCCCTATCACACCTAATACAAAACTTAATAAATAAAAGTTAATCCCAAAATTGGCAAATCGGTTGCGAGCAAAGAGCCCACGTACGTGGCTAATGTCACAGCTACTTAAATGGTAATGCCGAGGACTTGTCCATTCCACAGTCAGTCCCATACCAAGATTTTCTCTCTTACTGGTGAGTGTCCAACTTGTCCAAAGGACCCCCAAACACCCACCCACCCACAATCTGAGCTAATGTGAAAAGGCATTATCGGCGGTTAACCGGTAAACACCTCTAGTGAAAACATTCAAAAAATGGTGCTTCTCTGCCTATCCTAAATCACAATTTGTTAAAGTCGCTATTATCTCTTCAATATCATCTTCAAACAACATAAAAGACCTCGATCTCATTGGGAGGTCACCTGCGTTGATAAGAGCATCAATTGTTTTTGAATACTTTGTGTTCCGACTGACGCATGTGATTTGCTGGTGTATCCGGCGTCTCGCTTGACGTTTAAGGTTTGGTTGCTTGAGGTTCTCTAATATCAACTCCAGTTGGGGATCTTTGCCTTTACTAATGTGCTTCTTGATAGCAATTAACTGTTCTGTGACAAATGGGGCTCCAAACAGAGCAAGGATACAGATAGCTGCATATATTTCCATTCCAAATGCAAAAGACATTGCATTCCTTCCATTGTGATTAACAGCGTTGATATCTGCACCATTTACCAACAGCAGTGCGAGGCAAGCTGGACTTGCACTATTGAATACACAACGCATAAGAACCGTGTTACCATTTAGATCAGTTTTATTGACATCGGCGCCTTTCTTGATAAGCAACCGTACTGAATCAGGATTGTCGTGGCATACAGCGTAAAATAGTGCGTTCATTCCGGTTTTGAGGCAGGCGTTTACGTCAGCCCCATGGTCCAATAACGCTTCCATGGGTGTTAACGTGTCAAACCTTGTCGACCACATGAGTGCTGTGAGCCCTCTATTATTGGTTGCATTTACATCTGCTCCATTGTCAATTAAGATGCACATACATTTAGATTTTGCGTGTATTAAAGCTGTCGTCCCGTCATTTTCCCTAGCATCGATGTCAGCACCATATGCAATGAGCAAATTGACGCATTCTACTGAATCATTTACTGATGCTGCATACATCAGTGCAGTCTGACCATAGTTGTTAACAGCATTTACATTAGCACCATGATCAAGCAACAACTTCGTACAATTTGTTGCATTATTACGCACGGTATATATTAGCGCATTATCACCATATTGATCAACTGCATTGATGTCTACTTCTTTGTTGTCTATCAGTTTTTCTAAAGTTTCACTGTCCATCAATACCTTTTCAGAGTCAAGTTTTGCCCATTCCATGACTGAACGTTTTCCCATCTCAAGCCTATCAAATTCGATCATTTACTATATATTGGTTTTTACCTTGTCACGATTTCATTTATTATTTGTAAGAATAATTTTATAATACTAAATCATCTCTCACTGGGGGAATTTATAAATAAAGAGCAAATGATATACATGTAAAACATAAAAAGCTAGTATTTTATACCATACCTCAGTGGGGTGTAGCATATACTGTATATCAAGTGACGTCCAGCTGATGATTACATTAAATGCTTCATTCGTGCGTTATACATTTAGTGACGTATGATCAGAACATTGCACCATTTATTATGAACCATATTCATCTTTAAAATTAATGATTTCGAGTATCCAAAAAAGTTCTTCTGAGTTGGAAAGGAAAATACATTTTTACGGTCTACGTTGAGCTTTTTTCAAATTTTGATGCCACAAGTGCGTTATCATTTGTATTTTAGCTTTTGAAATGTCCAACGCGTCCATATAAATGTTGAGGTACTGATTCAATCTTTATGAATTTAATTAATTTCATTTGTGCAATATCATTTTGTCATGGAGGTACATGTATTTGATAATTGCCCGCATTATCATTTTAGTACTCGACAGTGTTTCTATCTCTCATCAATTTTGGCTCTGTAGGTCACAATTTTAAATTTTTCATAACATCAATTTTTCTGTCTTGAGGCTCAAATAGGTTCTTGTGGTTCTGATTTTCAAGACAACCCAAAAATACCTTTATGTTATGGACATCACCGGACTCTAAGCTCACGACACATGCTATATATCGATATATAAATGGAAAAATAGATGGCATCATGGGTATTGCTAGGGCTAGGGTAGGGCTAAAATACATGTAAATGTATTACCAGAGTCACTTAATTTCTTGATTTAAAAAGTAATTCCATTTGGATCAACTTAAAACACCATTGAAATATAACTATATGATCTTATTGACACGTAGATTGTGATTTCACATTAAAATTGTGATGCTTGTAAGAGTAAATTTTTAAAGGTTTTTCAGCATTGTGTCAATGGGAATTTGGCCCGACCTTTTTTAGACAACTAGAAAATCATTAGAATTTGAATAAATGTAAATGGCGATCCTAATCGAAAATTGTTTTGATATAATTCAAAATATGCCATCAAATAGAAGAAAATATTCAGTCTTTAATGGTTAAAAATGCAGATCTCCCAAAATCTCATTAAAACGAGACTTTAATGAGATTTCAAAGCTATATGGAAAAGGGACCATTGGTACTAGCCGTTTCAAATTTAGTAATCGGATCAGTGCATACAATAGGTGAATTATGTGTGTTAATCTAAAACCACACATATAAATATACAAACGTGTATATATTTAAAACATTTATATAGCTTTTGGCCTGTATACGTACTAATTACTTACATAAAGGTAGCGTTTGCTATTCGGTCTCTTTCGTCATCGTATTTTCATTAAATACGATTGGATTGGAAAATATACAATAGAATAGGAAAAATATTTATTCGTTACACAGTGAACAGTGAAGCAAAATATTCGTATTATTGAGCCAGTATAGTATTATTCAATAATACCACGAGCAAACAGTACAATTCACCTCAACTCAAAGTTAGAAATTAAGGCTTACTAGAATAACCAATTAGAGTTGAGAAGAAATTACTAAATCAAACTGGATATTTGATGAACTTATCATGGTGAAATCACTCTTTACAACAGCATTAAATAATATTCCTTCGAGAGGATCCTTAATCGTGGAATGGGCCAGACTCGAATCTATGAGGGACTCAATGAATAGTGACGTTTTAAAAATACTAATTGACAAAAAAGAAGTGGACATCAATGCAGCTGATCAATATGGTGATAATGCACTAATATATACTGTACGTGATAATGCAATAAATTGTGCGAAGTTATTGCTTGATCATGGTGCTAATGTAAATGCTGTTAACAACAATGGTAAGACTGCACTGATGTATGCAGCATCAGTAAATGATTCAGTTGAATGTGTCAATCTACTCATTGCACATGGTGCTAATATCGATGCTAAGGATAATGACGGGACGACAGCTTTAATTCTAGCGAAACCTGAATGTATGTGCATCTTGGTTGACAAGGGAGCAAATGTGAACACAGCAAATAAAACAGGACTCACTGCACTCATGCGGGCTACAAGATTCAGCAATACAGCACCCATGGAAGCGTTATTAGACCATGGTGCTGACGTGAACGCTTGTATCAATCCTGGAATGAACACCTTATATTACCCTGTATGCCAAGAAAATTCTGATTCAGTACTGTTGCTTAGCCATGGAATGAACGCTCTCTTCTTCGCTGTATGTCATGACAAACCAGACTTAGTACGTTTGCTTATCAAGAAAGGTGCCGATGTCAATACTTCTGGTCCGTATAAAGAAACGGTGTTGATGCGTTCTGTATGTAGTCTAGATCCAGCTTGTCTCGTACTGTTGTTAGCAAATGGTGCAGATATCAATAGGGTTAACCACGAAGGGAAAAATGCTATGTCAATTGCATTTGAATATAGTATATATTTTGGAATAGAAACATACAGAGCCATCTGCATCCTTGCTTTGTATGGAGCCCCATTTGATGCTAAACAGTTACTTTCTTTTAAGAAGCTCACGTGCAAGAGCAGATATTCAAAACTAGGGGTGATGTTAGAAGACTTCAAACTACTGGACCTTCAGCAACAAGTGAGACTCCGTATGTATCAACACACCACACGCGTCTGCCGGGACACATACTCTGAAACAATTGATGCTCTCATTAAAGGAGGTAAACTCCCAGAGAGATTTAGGTCGTTTATGCTGTTTGAAGATGACATTAAAGATATATCAATTTTGAGTAGAGTATGTTGAGATAGCCGATGAGACATTTCAGGGGTAGGAACCACGCCCCGCCATAAACCATCATACCAGGAGCAAAGCTCTGATGATAACACATTCATTTGTTTTTTACAAGTACATTAATTATGTTCTTTAATTTGTTATACTTTATTCATGGTTATATGTTAACTTTATGAGACATTCACACATATTAGGCAAAATATATATAATTCCAGCCATTCAGAACATACATGTTGTATTTAAAATGATATACGGGCAAATTTACGATAATTGATATTTTTTGAAATCCATGAATTCTGCTATTCTACCACATCCTGCGCCAAGTGTATTGATATAAACGACATTATATGTGTGCTATCGTGATGTCAACACAACTGTTTACCATGACCATACGAAACATATTTAACATATTGCATATTATTTCTTAAAAACAGCTTTAATGGTGATTTTTTGACAAATATTAAATTTTGCTATGGAAATTTGGACAACATAACAAAAATATGCATCAAATCAATGTTTTTCTCTTAAACCAATTATTGAAAACATTCTGTAAAAAACACGGTCCTTTATGTAATGTTGACTGATTGACAACAATTTAATGCGAAAATAATTTTTATATAATATTTAATATAACTGTTTTTGTTAACATTTTTTGTTTTTTTCCTTTTAACCATTTCTTGAGAATGAAATGAAATGTCTTTCCGAACCTTGTTGGAACAGAATAGCATATACAACATTTTCTTAGACTCCCAATATTATAGTTGCACAAGGGAAATTTTGGTTGTTTTAATAAAAAAGTATTCAAAAAATTTAAACCAAAAAAACCCGAAATAGATAAAAAACTAAGATAAACCTTTAATTTCAATAACAGGGTACTTCTTAAATCAACCAAACTTTCCTTTGTATAATTTTATAATATGTATTGGCTGTATGAGGGCGTTGTAGAGGACACAGAGTAGTCCATACCGCCCATTCATTTAGATTTGTTGATCAAAACACTCAAAGCTCTATGGGCAGATTTAGCTATTTCCATGGCTTTATGATTCATATTTAGCTAATAAGTTTTCATCAAGCCAGCCACCCAAATACTTCGGCACTGGCGTCAGAAGGGGGATGGTGTTGTCCCCTCCCTTTCCCAGATTTTTTAGATTTGAAACCGAGCCTTGAATATTGAAAGCTCTAGAGCTAATTAAAGTCAAAGTGTAATAATGACAGAAATGATACTATGTCAGTATCTAATCTACATCAAGCATAGAAGATCTCATATCTCATATTATATTTGATTATGTACCATGTACCATATTTCCTGGGAACCCATACAACATGTAAATACTTTTATGAATAAGTGCCAAATGTATAGTAAAAGTCAAACTTTTTTAGTCAAAGTCTACATAGATCCATCCATACCTAAAAGTCGCCTCCCCTTCTTGGCAATTCCTTTTGACGCCCTATGCCATAGTTGATTTTGAATATTTTATTATCACTTTGTGTTATTCATGCCACATTCATTTCACAGGGCCCTCTAAATAGGTTCCATCAAGTGCTACATGTACACAATTCCTCATCCTCTTAAAACTCAAGATTGTGAGACAAGGCTGTACTGTATCCATTCTCTGACATGGTAGCAAGATGCAGTTGCAGGGGTTGTTTTATTTCATCAATGTCAATAAACCTTCGTCCTTTCTCTATAGAAATAAGTAGTACACTTTGTAGAAATAAACAAGTCACATGTGAGCGGATCTGGACAATATGGTGCATTGGCCAAGGGCTCAATTTTGAGGTTCGGGGATATTATTTTCTGAACATTTTGAGATCTGTGGGCAGGTGCATTGTCCATATGGAGTAGGGCGTTCCCTTCTCAATTTCTCTCACCAACCCTTTCTTCCACAATGCTTCTCAAATTGACCTGCAAACTCCTTCCATACAACACTCTGACATCACAATACTTTCTGTTTTTGTGTTACCAGTCAGCAAAAAATTTCAAACAACACAACACTTGTTCATATAAAAGGAGTGGTATCTATATGATGAACTTTTTGAACACACGTTTCTCTTAAACCAGTCATCAAAACATTCTGAAAATTTTACACATTGTCAATTTAACAGTCAGCTTATGAAATATGTTAGAGCAGGAATTGAAGCATATCTATGAACGCCTACAAATGCACGTATGGCGAGTTGATGAATATTGTCACATTTTTTATAAGGTTCCGCTCCCCAAATACCAGCACTATAGTTCATGATGGGTAATACATATGTGTCATACAGTTTACTGGAATGATAGTCCTTCATGTGATCTAAATTTAGAAATAAGACCACCTCCATTGATCGCACCACGTTTTAACAATATCGAGCAGCTTTTGTAGATCGGTTTCGCTTTCACAAGTCAGGGCAATGTAAGATATGTAAACAATTTTGTTTAATTGTTAAAATATCCAGTCAAAACACTAACAAAACACAGAATTAATATTTCCATTTAATTCCTCTACCCCAAAAACATAGAAATTGACACCAAGATCAAGTTTTTATCATAAATATTAACCAAGTTACGACATTTCAAAGATTTTATGGCGGCCATCTTGGATTTCATGGCGACCATATTCGATTTTTGCATTTTGCTAAAATTCCAAGGGTGAGACCTCTACACCCACCCAGGTATCACTACAGGTACCCTTACAATGCATAATCTGCAGAGAAAAAATTATTCAGACAAAACAATGTAAGCCCACGGCGCTGCCGGACTATCTTGTGTGCATTAGAAGCATCGGACAAATAACCGGTGCGTCAACATAATCCACCATGATCACGCTAATTAAAGATGCAATAATGTATGCTCCTTAAAGTTTCCCGCCATTTCTTATTCAACCAATCAGATTCTTGATTGAAGAAGAATTGGCAAAGGTTTTGGCGGACAAAGACATGGTAAGATTTATCCAAAATTTTGTAATATTTCTCATTGAGATAATAACCCTAACGATTAGTTACCTTCATGTTTATAACGTAGATAGTATAAGCTTCATGTAGGTTTAAGTAACTAGATATTTTTTATTGAAGTATCAACTTGAAGTTGTAATTTTACAAACGTCATAGGCTTATCCCGTGCCAGGACTATAGACTATAGTCCTGGCAAGGGATAACATGGTAGGTTTAAAATTCAAACTAACAGCTTCGCAGGACGAAGTGGTTTCGCGTATTATATAAAGGTATAATTATCCGTCTCTTTTGGCATGGTTTTTTAACTTAATATGAATGGATTAGAAGTACATGTAAGTCAAGTTGAAAGATGACTGAAACAACTGCTTTAACATTTTTAAAAATATTGGTATTATTGAGCCAGTATGGTATTATTCATCAATACCACGGGCCAACAGTACAATTCACATAACTCAAAGTAATAAATTAAAAGTCAGCGGAAGTCAGTTTAAAAGAAAATTACTAAATCAGACTGAATATTTGATTAATTCAGTAATTATCATGGTGAAACCACTATTCACACTAGCATTAAATAATATTCGTTTGAGAAGATCCTTAATCATGGAATGCGTCAAACTCGAGTCGAGGAAGGACTCAATGCAAGATAAAGTTTTAAAAGTACTAATTGACAAACAAGTAGTGGATATTAATGCAACTGATCAATATGGTGATAATGCGCTAATATGTACTGTACGTAATAATGAGATAAAAATGCGTAAAGTTGTTGCTTGATTATGGTGCTGATGTAAATGCTGTTAACAACTATGGTCAGACTGCACTGATGTATGCAGCATCAGTAAATGATTCAGTTGAATGCGTAAATCTGCTCATTGCATATGGTGCTAATATTGATGCTAGGGATAATGACGGGACGACAGCTTTGATACTCGCGAAATCTGAATGTATGTGTTTGCTGGTTGACAAGGGGGCAGATGTGAACGCATCCAATAAAATAGGACTCACTGCACTCATGCGGGCTGTAACGTTCAGCAATACAACGCCCATGGAAGCATTATTGGACAATGGTGCTGACGTGAACGCTTGTATCAATGCTGGACCGAACACACTATATAACCCTGTTTCCCAATACAATGCTGACTCAATATTGTTGCTTCGGTATGGAATGAACGCACTCTGCCTTGCTGTAGGTAGTGACAAACCTGACTCAGTACGCTTACTTATCAAGAAAGGTGCTGACGTCAATGTATGCGGTCCTGATAATGAAACGGCATTGATGCGTTCTGTTTGTAGTCCAGATCTAGCGTGTCTAAAACTGCTACTAGCAAATGGTGCAGATGTCAATAGGGTTGACAATGAAGGTAAAAATGCTATTTCGATTGCATTCGAATATTTTGAATTTGGAATAGAGACATACAGAGACATCTGCATCCTTGCTTTGTATGGAACTCCATTTGATGCTGAATAGTTACTTGCTTTTAAGAAGCTCACTTGTAAGGGCGAATATTCAAAACTAGGAGTGATGTTAGAAGACTACAAACAATTGGACCTTCAACAGCAAGTAAGACTCTGTATGTATCAATACACCACATGCGTCTGTCGGAAGACATACTCTGGAACAATTGATACTCTCATTAAAGGAGGTGAACTTCCAGAGAGATTTAGGTCGTTTATGTTATTCGAAGATGACATTGAAGAAATACTAGATGTGAATAGAGTGGGTTGAGATAGCCGAGGAGACAATTCACGGGTAGGAACCGCACCCCGCCATACACCATCATACCACGAGCAAAGCTCTTGTGATAACACAATCACATCCTCGCATGAGTAAAGATGAACGATTTGTTTTCTACAAGTACATTATGTTCTTTAATTTTTAGATCTTATTCATGGTTATTAGTAAATTCACAACATATGCATATACATGCATGCGCCTATGTGTGATAATTGACATAATGTCTAATGATATAATTACATGTATATCTGACCCGCCTATGGGTGCATATCGTTATCAGTGCAATTTACATATGTGGAGAATTTCTATCAGAAGTATTTTTACTAAAGCACATACAAGGGCCGATCAAAAAGTTTCTTACCGTTGGCTCTCAATTTTATAATAAGAGGAGTTGGATGCTCAAACTTTTACATAAGACAGGGTAGTAAGTTTGCTTGAGACTGTCTGAGTTTCATTTAAATTGGTTCATTGGTAGTGACACAGAGTCCATACATATTGTTAATGATTGAATTAGGTGGAGCAACGTTTTTTATAAAAAATTGTGCTCAGTTGCAGTTTTGGAATTTTCTAACACTAAGGAGTGTCATCTGTCAACAGACTGTAGTTTAATCATGTTTAATTTGTTTTTATTCTGCTAATATTCATTCTCATTCAAAATATTCAACCCTAGTTGCAATGCACTTCCTATATCTGTCCACTCGATCCAAGAACACATGTTTAAGGCCTTCGTATGAGAGGTTTGAGACGATGTCGGTAAATTTCCAGAACCACAACTCGGCAGATATTTTATAGTTATAACGCTACTCCACCTTACTTTGTCATTGAAAATATGAATCGACTCTGTGTCACTACCAATACACCAATTTATATGAAACTCGTACAATTTCAAGCGAACTAACTATCCTGTCTCATGTTAAAGGTTGAGCTTCCAACTCCTCTTATTACTAAATTATTACTAAAATTTGATCGGCCCTTGTATATATATTCCATAGATACAAATGACATATCCTTACGTATCATAAAAATGCAATCCGTATGCTTACATACAATTTATTATTGCGTATAAGTCCCATAAGTCATTTCACAAATACCCTTTTACATCACTCAAAGCTGTCTTCCACTATACTCTGCATTAGAACATATATACACATATTTCAGTTCCACTTGGTGAGTTTATAAACTATATCATTCAAACAATATGACCATAGTGGATTATCGATTATAATACACTTTTGTGAACTGGCTGAAGATGGTGCCACTAGTTGAACAGCACACTGACGAGATGGCCTATCATCCGTCTACTGGTTAATCCAGTCGAGTCAAAAGATTAACATTTTCTTCCGCACTACCTACCATTTAACTTGTATCTTATACATGTACATGTTACATATTTCTATGTACTCTCATCACCTTTACCCATAATGCAACACGGCCCACACTACAATAGGATACCATAGGCCCTAGGCTAGGGAGACGTACAGTGACCATTTATTGAGAAACTACAAACTAGATCTTTTATCTTTTTGCCGCGCTGATCAGATTTGTTATTTCGTTCAGTGCAAAAGTAACGCGAGATTTAGAACAAAATCTCGAACATCTCTAGAAAGCAATTTATGTTACATCAAGGTGTGTGATCGGTACATCAAGGTGTGTGATCGGCACATCATGGTTTGTGAAGGGAAAAACGTTTGTGCGAGCCGCATAAGCATTTGTTCGACTTGTGTACCCTGTTCGATGTCATTTTTAACAATGCATACACAAATATGCATGTACAAGTGTGATTTTACAAACATAAAGTGTGCAAACTCGAACAAACCGTGTATGAAATCACACGGATTGTGTATGTATTCTGCTAAACGCTATTCTTTGTGTTAGAGATATCACATAAATATAAGATGTCCAATTTTGATACAGTTTTAACACCATACGCGGCAAGATGGTTTATTGCGTGGCATTGTTTCCTCGGCTATCTCAACATAAGTATGTGGAGTTCCACTCACACCTAATATATCTTCAATGTCATCTTCAAACAGCATAAACCACCTAAATCTCTCTGGGAGTTTACCTCCTTTAATAAGAGCATCAATTGTTTTAGAGTATGTCTTCCGACAAACGCGCGTGGTGTATTGATACATACGGAGTCTCACTTGTTGCTGCAGGTCCAGTTGTTTGAAGTCTTCTAATGTCACTCCTAGTTTTGAATATCTACTCCTACATGTGAGCTTCTTGAAAGCAAGTGACTGTTCAGCATCAAATGGGGCTCCATACAAAGCAAGGATGCAGATGGCTCTGTATGTTTCTATTCCAAATGTACTATATTCAAACGCAAATGACATAGCATCTTTTCCTGCATGATTAACCTTATTGATATCTGCACCATTTGCTAACAGCAGTACTAGACAAGCTGGATCTGGACTACATACAGAACGCATCAATACCGTTTCATTATACGGACCAGAAGTATTGACATCGGCACCTTTCTTGATAAGCAAACGTACTAAGTCGAGGTTGTCATGACATACAGCGAAGAAGAGTGCGTTCATTCCAGGATAGTTAAGCAACTTTACTGACTCTGGGTTGTCTTGGCAAACAGGATAAAATAGTGCGTTCATTTCGGAATTGATACAAGCGTTCACGTCAGCACCATGGTCCAATAACGCTTCCATGGGCGCTGTATTGCTGAACGTTGCAGCCCACATGAGTGTAGTCAGTCCTATTTTATTAGTTGCGTTTACATCCGCCCCCTTATCAACTAAGATGCACATACATTTAGATCTTGCGTGTATTAAAGCTGTCGCCCCGTCATTATCCCTAGCATCGATATCAGCACCATATGCAATGAGCAGATTGACACATTCTACTGAATCATTTACTGATGCTGCATACATCAGTGCAGTCTTACCATAGTTGTTAACAGCATTTACATCAGCACCATGATCAAGCAACAACTTCGTACAATTTGTTGCATTATTACGCACAGTATATATTAGCGCATTATCACCATATTGATCAGCTGCATTGATGTCCACTTCTTTTTTGTCTATCAGTTCTTCTAAAGTTTCACTGTCCATCAATACCTTTTCAGACTCCAGTTCGGCCCATTCCACGACTGAAAGTTTTCCCATCGCAAGCCTATCAAATCCGATCATATGCTATTTATTGGTGTTTACCTTGTTGAGATTTCATTCATTAACGTGTTCAGAATTTATAATACTTAATCATCTCTTACTTTGGTCATTTATACCGCAACCTGAAAAACTAAGTAACCAATATCATGCTATAAAGAGCAAATGATATACATGTATTACGTCATACAAAGCTAATATTTTACACCATACAGGTACCTCAGTGGGTGTAGCAAATATATCAAGTGACGTCCAGCTGAGGATCACATTAAATGCTTCATTCGTGCGTTATACATTTAGTGACATATGATCAGCACATTGGATCATAAATATGAACAATATTCATCTTTAAAATTAATCATTTCGAGTATCCCAAAAAGTTCTTCTGAGTTGGAAAGGAAAATACATTTTTTACGGTCTACGTTGGTCTTTTTTAAAATTTTGATGGCACACGTGCGTTATCATTTGTATTTTAGCTTTTGAAATGTCCAACGCGTCCATATAAATGTTGCGGTACTGATTCAATCTTTATGAACCTAATTAATTTCATTTGTGCAATATCATTTTGTCATGGAGGTACATATATTTGATAATTGTCCGCATTATCATCTTAGCACCCGACAGTGTTTCTATCTTTCATCAATTTTGGCTCTGAAGGACAACAGGCCCGTAGCCAGGATTTGCCAAGGGGGATTCACTTTTTAAAAAATTCCAGGGTGGTTCACTTGTGACAATTTTGGTCCAAAAATGGCCAAAACACTTAAAAAGTGCTCAGCTCAGAGTGGTGAAAAACTGCATGATTTAGAAAGATTTTTTTTGGCCAGGGGGGTTTGCTCGAACCCATCGACCCCCCCCCCCCACCTGGCTACGGGCCAGGTCAATTTTAAATAGCCCGACCTTTTTTAGACAACTAGAAAATCATTAGAATTTGAATAAAGGTATATGACGGTCCTAATCAAAATTGTTCTGATAGAAAGATAGACACAGAATTCAAATATGCCATCAAATAGAAGAAAATATTAGTCCTAAATGGTTAAAAATGCAGATCTCCCAAAATCTCATTAAAAACGAGACTTTAATGAGATTTCAAAGCTATATGGAAAGGGACACTTAGTACTAGACGTTTCAAAGGAGTGGTATCGATATGGAGAACATTTTGGACACGCATTTCTCTAAACCAGTCATCAAAACATTCTGTAAATTTTACGCATCGTCAATTTAATGGTCATCTTTTCGATGGTAACATTATAATTTGAAATATATATATATAAATACTTTTTTCTATATCGTTTTAGAAAACACATCAGACACTCATTTTGTTATTGGTATCATATGTTCGGAATGAACAAAACGACATAAACACAACGTGTTTAGGTCTCTCAATATCGTAATTGTACAAAGGAAAGTTTGGTTGATTTAAAAAAAGTATCTTGTTAATGAAATAAAAGGTTTATCTTAATTCTTATCTATTTTGGGGGGGTTTTGTTTTAAGTTTTTGCATACTTTTTGTTAAATCAACCAAAAATTCCTTTGTATAACTATTATATTGAGAGGTCTAAGAAAATGTTGTATATGCTATTTTGTTCCAACAAGGTTCGGAAAGACATTTTATTTCATTCTCAAGAATTGGTAGAAAGGAACAAAAAAACAATTGCACTAAAAAACAAAAAATGTTAACAAAAACAGTTATATAAAATATATTTAAATAATTTTTGCATTAAATTGTTGCCAATCAGTCAACATTACATAAAGGACCGTGTTTTTTTACAGAATGTTTTCAATAATTGATTTAAGAGAAAAACATTGTTGAATTCAGTTCACCAATTCGATACCTATCCTTTAGTAATCGGATCAGTGCATACAATAGGTGAATTATGTGTGTTAATCTAAAACCACACAGATAAATATACAAACGTGTATATATCTTTAAAACATGTACATAGCTGTTGGCCTGTATACGTACTTATTACTTACATAAAGGTAGCATTTGCTATTAGGTCTCTTTCGTCATAGTATTTTCATTGAATACTATTGGATTGGAAATATATAAAATAGAATAGGAAAAATATTTATTCGTTACACAGTGAACTGATGTAAAATATTCGTATCATTGAGCCAGTATAGTATTATTCAACAATACCAGTAGAACTCAAAGTTAGATATTACTAGTCAGTGAAACACAATTAGAGTTTACAAGAAAACTACCAAACTGAATACTTGATTGACTTATTATGGTGAAGTCACTATTTACAATAGCATTAAATAATATTCCTTCGAGAAGATCCTTAATCGTGGAATGGGCCAGACTCGAGTCTACAAAGGACTCGATGAACAATCAAGTTTTAAAAATACTAATTGACAAAAAAGGAGTGGATATTAATGCAACTGATCAATATGGTGATAATGCGCTAATATATACCATGCGTAATAATGCAACAAAATGTGCGAAGTTGTTGCTTGATCATGGTGCTGATGTAAATGCTGTTAACAACAATGGTAAGACTGCACTGATGTATGCAGCATCAGTAAATGATTCAGTTGAAAGCGTCAATCTGCTCATTGCATATGGTGCTAATATCGATGCTAGGGATAATGACGGGACGACAGCTTTAATTCTCGCGAAATCTGAATGTATGTGCATCTTGGTTGACAAGGGAGCAAATGTGAACACAGCAAATAAAACAGGACTCACTGCACTCATGCGGGCTACAAGATTCAGCATTACAGCACCCATCGAAGCGTTATTAGACCATGGTGCTGACGTGAACGCTTGTATCAATCCTGGAATGAACACCTTATATTACCCTGTATGCCAAGAAAATTCTGATTCAGTACTGTTGCTTAGCCATGGAATGAACGCACTCTTCTTCGCTGTATGCCATGACAAACCCGACTTAGTACGTTTGCTTATCAAGAAAGGTGCCGATGTCAATACTTCTGGTCCGTATAATGAAACGGTATTGATGCGTTCTGTATGTAGTCTAGATCCAGCTTGTCTCGTACTGTTGTTAGCAAATGGTGCAGATATCAATAGGGTTAACCACGAAGGGAAAAATGCTATGTCAATTGCATTTGAATATAGTACATATTTTGGAATAGAAACATACAGAGCCATCTGCATCCTTGCTTTGTATGGAGCCCCATTTGATGCTAAACAGTTACTTTCTTTTAAGAAGCTCACGTGCAAGAGCAGATATTCAAAACTAGGGGTGATATTAGAAGACTTCAAACTACTGGACCTTCAGCAACAAGTGAGACTCCGTATGTATCAACACACCACACGCGTCTGCCGGGACACATACTCTGAAACAATTGATGCTCTCATTAAAGGAGGTAAACTCCCAGAGAGATTTAGGTCGTTTATGCTGTTTGAAGATGACATTAAAGATATATCAATTTTGAGTAGAGAATGTTGAGATAGCCGATGAGACAATTCAGGGGTATGAACCACGCCCCGCCACAAGCCATCATACCAGGAGCAAAGCTCTGATGATAACACATTCATTTGTTTTTTATAAGTAAATTATGTTCTTTAATTTGTTATTACTTTATTCATGGTTATATGTTAACTTTATGATATATTCACACATATTAGGCAAAATATATCGAATTCCAGCCATTCAGAACATACCTGTACATGTTGTATTTAAAATGATTCACGGGAAAATTTACAATAATTGATATTTTTTGAAATCCATGAATTTTGCTATTCTACCACATCCTGCGCCAAGTGTGTTGATATAGATGACATTATATGTGTGCTATCACAATGTCAACACAACTGTTTACCATGACCATACGAAACATATTTAACATATGGCATATTATTTCTTAAAAACAGCTTTAATGGTGATTTTTTACAAATATCAAATTTTGCTATGGAAATTTGGACAATATAACAAAATATGCATCAAGTCCGTCGATAACTGGCTAATAAAATATATTTCCGACCATCTCTCAAAAGGGGTTGTTTGATATGTAGTACTCATTAAAAAATAACACGTTTTATACTGTCCATATGTTTTGTATCCTCCAACACATGTTCAACATATTCAATTTACTAAAAAATTTGATAAAATTGAGATTTTATATAACAATCATTTAAATACTTAATTGAATTAGTCTCATTTCTGAAAATAATTGTTTGAAATCATTTATGTGCATTGTTGGAGGGTTAGACAAATGGTATATGCAGAGAAAAAGTACTTCATTGCATGGGTAACACACATGTAACATCGCCCTTTTAAAAGCTGGTGTCAAACATATTTTTTATGTAGTTCGAAAAATATCAACGCAATTGATGCTCTGTATGTGCTGTATCACCATACCACAAACAAAACAAAACTTAAAAATTCAATTATTTTATATAACTGTTTTTGTTGACATTTTTTGTTTTTTACTGCAATTGTTGTTTCTTTGTTCCTTTTAACCATTTCTTGAGAATGAAATAAAATATCTTTCCGAAGCTTGTTTGAACAGAATAGCACATACAACATTTTCTTAGTCTTCCCGATATTATAGTTGTACAAGGGAAATTTTGGTTGATTTAACAAAAAGTATTCAAAAAAATTAAACCAAAAAAAAACGAAATAGATAAAAACTAAGATAAACCTTTAATTTCAATAACAAGATACTTTTTAAATCGACCAAACTTTCCTTTGTATAATTTTATAATATGTATTGGCTGTATGAGGGCGTTGTAGAGGTTGTTAATACACAGAGTAGTCCATACCGCCCATACATTTAGATTTGTTGATCAAAACATTCAAAGCTCTATGGGCAGATTTAGCTATTTCCATGGCTGTATGATTCATATTTAGCTGATAAGTTTTCATCAATCCAGCCACCCATACCCAAAAGCCGCCCCCCCCCCTTCTTGGCAATTCCTTTTGACGCCCTATGCCATAGTTGATTTTGAATATTTTATTATCACTATGTGATATTCATGCCACATTCATTTCACAGGGTCCTCTAAATAGGTTCCATCAAGTGCTACATGTACACAATTCCTCATCCTCTTAACTCAAGATTGTGAGGCAAGGCTATATCCATTCTCTGACATGGTAGCAAGATGCAGTTGCATGGGTTGACTTTATTTCATCAATGTCAATAAACCTTCGTCCTTTCTCTATAGAAATAAGTAGTATACTTGTAGAAATAAACAAGTCGCATGTGAGCGGATCTGTAAAATATGGTGCATTGGCCAAGGGCTCAATTTTGAGGTTCAGGGATAAAATTTTCTGAACATTTTGAGATCTGTGGGCAGGTGCATTGTCCATATTGAGTAGAGTGTTCCCTTCTCAATTTCTCTCACCACCCCTTTCTTCCACAATGCTTTCTCAAATTGACCTGTAAAACCCCTTCCATACAACACTCTGACATCACAATACTTTCTGTTTTTGTGTTACCAGTCAGCAAAAAAATTCAAACAACACAACACTTGTTGCATATAAAAAAAAGTTTAAATCTAACTGAAAGGAGTGGTATCTATATGGTGAACTTTTTGAACACACGTTTCTCTTAAACCAGTCATCAAAACATTCTGAAAATTTTACACATCGTCAATTTAATAGTCATCTTTTGGATGGTAACATTATAATTTGAAATATATATATATATCCTTTTGTCTATATTGTTTTAGAAAACACATCAGACACTTCTTTTGTTCTTGGTATCATATGTTCGGAATGAAATGAAACATCTATCCGAACCTCATTGGAACAAAACGACATAAACACAATATGTTTATTAGGTCTCTTAATATTGTAATTGTGCAAAGGAAAGTTTGGTTGATTTTTAAAATAAGTATTTTTGTTAATGAAATAAAATGTTTATCTTAATTTTCATCTATTTTGAGGGGTTTTATTTTAAGTTTTTGCACACTTTTTGTAAAATCAACCAGAATTTCCTTAGTATAACTGTAGTATTGAGAGGTCTAAGAAAATGTTGTATGTTCCATCAAGGTTCGGAAAGACATTTTATTTTATTCTCAGGAATTGGTAGAAAGGTACCTGTACCCCCTCCACGGAAATAAGGATATATCAACATGTATTATATATTTTGTCTTCAAATCTCCAGAATTGATAAATAATAATTTGTATCATCTCTCATGTCACTTAGCTGATTCAATACACTGCTGTAGCATTAATGTAGACTGTATGCTCAGGTTTGCAGGGTCTCGGGCGACTTTGTGAAGCTAAGTTTTCTTGAACTTCAAAGAGGTCATTCATGCAGGTAAGAACAGGTTGTTCAAATAGAGGTCGCAGAAGTTCCTCAACAAGAAGGCGTAATGCTCGGACATGGGGGTACTTTTTTCTGCTTAACATTTTGGATACTCCTGCAAAAACAACTCCAAGGATCTCATCTAGACCAGAATCTGCCACATTAATGTCCTGACATTGCCACAACAACTCATCAGCAGGTGCATTCAACCAAGACGCAAGTAAACATTATCAATCTTTCCAGGATTTCCCCATTTCACCGTGTGAGCGACCCGATACAGTTGTTGATCACATGTAAAAACAATAGAGTCCTGGCCAACTGCTTGTGAAATCTGTTAGAGCAGGAATTGAAGCATATCTCTGAATGCCCATAAATGCACGTATGGGGCGTTGGTGAATATTGTCACATTTTTGATAAGGTTCCGATCACCAAATACCAGCACTATAGTTCATAATGGGTAATACACATGTGTCATACAGTTTACTGGAATGATAGTCCTTCATGTGATCTGAATTTAGAAATAAGACCATCAAGTCCCCTGCTTGCTGCTGAGCTCAGATGTTCTGCTGTAAATGTATAGTCTAAAGTTTTGTCGAAGAAGCAACCCAGATATTTGTAGCTTAACGTACACTTTTTCGATTTCAGAATCATTGAAGAGAAAATTATAGCTAGTTCGTTTAAGGCATGGTTTTCCTTCTGAAATGTACAATTTTAGTTTTTCCCATATTTATAGATATTCTCCATTGATTGTTCCACGTTTTAACAATATCGAGCAGCTTTTGTAGATCGGTTTCGCTTTCACAAGTCAGGGCAATGTAAGATATGTAAAATTGTGGGTTTAATTGTTAAAATATCCAGTCAAAGAACTATCAAAACACAGAACTAATGTTTCCATTTAATTCCTCTACCCCGAAAACATAGAAATTGACACCAAGATCAAGTTTGTATCATAAATATTAACCAAGTTATGACATTTCAAAGATTTTATGGCGGCCATCTTGGATTTCATGGCGGCCATATTGGATTTTTGCATTTTGCTAAAATTCCTCAAGGGTGAGACCTCTACACCCACCCAGATATCACTACAGGTACCCTTACAATGCATAATCTGCAGAGAAAAAAATTAATCAGACAAAACAATGTAAGCCCACGGCGCTGCCAGACTATCTTGTGCATTAGTAGCATTGGACAAATAACCGGTGCGTCAACATAATCCACCATGATCACGCTAATTAAAGATGCAATAATGTATGCTCCTTATAGTTTTCCGCCATTTCTTATTCAACCAATCAGATTCTTGATTGAAGAAGAATTGGCAAAGGTTTTGGCGGACAAAGACATGGTAAGATTTATCCAAAATTTTGTAATATTTCTCATTGAGATAATAACCCTAACGATTAGTTACCTTCATGTTTATAAAGTAGATAGTATAAGCTTCATGTACGTTTAAGTAACTAGATATTTTTTATTGAAGTATCAACTTGAAGTTGTAATTTTACAAACGTCATAGGCTTATCCCGTGCCAGGACTATAGACTATAGTCCTGGCAAGGGATAACATGGTAGGTTTAAAATTCAAACTAACAGCTTCGCAGGACGAAGTGGTTTCGCGTATTATATAAAGGTATAATTATCCGTCTCTTTTGGCATGGTTTTTAACTTAATGTGAATGGATTAGAAGTACATGTAAGTCAAGTTGAAAGATGACTGAAACAACTGCTTTAACATTTTTAAAAATATTTGTATTATTGAGCCAGTATGGTATTATTCATCAATACCACGGGCCAACAGTACAATTCACATAACTCAAAGTAATAAATTAAAAGTCAGCGGAAACAATTAGAGTTTAAAAGAAAATTACTAAATCAGACTGAATATTTGATTAATTCAGTAATTATCATGGTGAAACCACTATACACACTAGCTTTAAATAATATTCGTTTGAGAAGATCCTTAATCATGGAATGCGTCAAACTCGAGTCGAGGAAGGACCCAATGCAAGATAAAGTTTTAAAAGTACTAATTGACAAAAAAGAAGTGGATATTAATGCAACTGATCAATATGGTGATAATGCGCTAATATGTACTGTACGTAATAATGAGATAAAATGCGTAAAGTTGTTGCTTGATTATGGTGCTGATGTAAATGCTGTTAACAACTATGGTCAGACTGCACTGATGTATGCAGCATCAGTAAATGATTCAGTTGAATGCGTCAATCTGCTCATTGCATATGGTGCTGATATCGATGCTAGGGATAATGACGGGACGACAGCTTTGATACTCGCGAAATCTGAATGTATGTGTTTGCTGGTTGACAAGGGGGCAGATGTGAACGCATCCAATAAAATAGGACTCACTGCACTCATGCGGGCTGTAACGTTCAGCAATACAGCGCCCATGGAAGCATTATTGGACAATGGTGCTGACGTGAACGCTTCTATCAATGCTGGACCGAACACACTATATAACCCTGTCTCCCAATACAATGCTGACTCAATATTGTTGCTTAACTATGGAATAAACGCTCTCTTCCTTGCTGTAGGTAATGACAAACCTGACTCAGTACGCTTACTTATCAAGAAAGGTGCTGACGTCAATGTATGCGGTCCTGATAATGAAACGGTATTGATGCGTTCTGTATGTAGTCCAGATCTAGCTTGTCTAAAACTGCTACTAGCAAATGGTGCAGATGTCAATAGGGTTGACAATGAAGGTAAAAATGCTATGTCGATTGCATTCGAATATTTTGAATTTGGAATGGAAACATACAGAGACGTCTGCATCCTTGCTTTGTATGGAACTCCATTTGATGCTGAACAGTTACTTGCTTTTAAGAAGCTCACTTGTAAGGGTGAATATTCAAAACTAGGAGTGATGTTAGAAGACTACAAACAACTAGACCTTCAACAGCAAGTGAGACTCCGTGTGTATCAATACACCACACGCGTCTGTCGGAAGACATACTCTGGAACAATTGATACTCTCATTAAAGGAGGTGAACTTCCAGAGAGATTTAGGTCGTTTATGTTATTCGAAGATGACATTGAAGATATACTAGATGTGAATAGAGTGGGTTGAGAACTGAGTAGTTCTGAGTAGTTTTAAAAAGAATATCAATTGTAACTCAACGCCCCTATTTAGTATTTCTAAAAAATAAACTTGTCCAAAGCATACCCTGCAACAGTTAACTAGGTCAACACTGACAACAATTGCATCACTTTGACATCCATTTACTCTTACAATTTGACCTACATAAGTACTTGACTTTTTATTCCCTAATGATACCATTCATAGATTTTCACGAAAGTGTCCATTCGGAAAATATGGACGAAAATGAGGAAAGGACTGGCGAGATAATGAGACTTTAAATGTTGGTAAATCTCACACCTTGGGACCCAAATGCCGCCAAAATGAGGGTCTCAGCTCTGTACGATAAAGCGATGCACCGACAGAAAGGCATTTTGTTCTCCTTTTTATGGATCAAGTTTGAAAAAACTGTGTAATGATTTTCAAACACATGAAAAGTTTAAAAGGGGTTCCGCATATTATATAAAGGTATAATTATTAGGTCCCTTTTGGTATGGTATTTTCAATAAATACGATTGGATTAGATTGTTAGTCTAGCTGTTACTCAGTGAACTGAAACAACTGCTTTATCATTTTCAAAAATGTTTGTATTATTCGGCCAGTATGGCGTATGGAATTATTCATCAATACCATGGGATGGGCCAACAGTACAATTCACCTACACTCAAAATAATAAATTAATAGTCAGTGGAACACAATTAGAAAGTATTTGATTAACTAATCATGGTGAAATCACTATTTACAATAGCATTAAATAACATTCCTTTGAGAAAATCCTTAATCGTAGAATGGGCCAAACTCGACTCTACGAAGGACTCAATGAACAATAATATTCTAAAAGTACTAATTGACAAAAAAGAAGTGGACATCAATGCAGCTGATCAATATGGTGATAATGCGCTAATATATACCGTGCGTAATAATGCAACAAAATGTGTGAGGTTATTGCTTGAACATGGTGTTGATGTAAATGCTTATAACAACTATGGTAAGACTGCACTGATGTATGCAGCATCAGTAAATGATTCAGTTAAATGCGTCAATCTACTCATTGCATATGGTGCTGATATCGATGCTAGGGATAATGACGGGGCGACGGCTTTAATACTCGCGGAATCTGAATGTATGTGTCTGCTGGTTGACAAGGGGGCAGATGTAAACGCATCAAATAAAATAGGACTCACTGCACTCATGCGGGCTGCAACGTCCAGCAATACAGCGCCCATGGAAGCGTTATTGGACCATGGTGCTGACGCGAACACGTGTATCAATTCTGGACCAAACACACTATATTACCCTATTTCCCAATACAATCCTGTCTCCGTATTGTTGCTTCGGTCTCGAATGAACGCACTCTTTATCGCTGTAAATCATAACAAACCCGACTTAGTACGTTTGCTTATCAAGAAAGGTGCCGATGTCAATACTTGCGGTCCTGATAATGAAACGGTATTGATGCGTTCTGTATGGTGTTCAAATTCAGCTTGTCTAATAATGCTATTAGCAAATGGTGCAAATATCAATAGGGTTGACAATGAAGGTAAGAATGCTTTGTCAATTGCATTCGAATATATTAGATTTGGAATAGAAACATACAGAATCATCTGCATCCTTGCTTTGTATGGAGCCCCATTTGATGCTGAACAGCTACTTGCCTTCAAGAAGCTCACATATAAAAGTAGATATTCAAAACTAGGAGTGATGTTAGAAGACTTCAAACTACTGGACCTTCAACAGCAAGTGAGACTCAATATGTATAAACACACAACACTCGTCTGTCGGAAGACATACTCTAAAACAATCAATGCTCTAATTGAAGAAGGTAAAATCCCAGAGAGATTTCGGTCGTTTATGTTATTCGAAGATGACATTGAAGATATATTAAGTGTCGGTAGAGTATGTTGAGATAGGCGAGGAAACAATTCACGGGTAAAAACCACGCCCCGCCATAAACCATCATACCGCGGGCAGAGCTCCGATGATAACAAATCCTTGCAAAAGTAAAGATGAACGATATGTTTTCTACAAGTACATTTTATTATTTGTCTTTTTATATTTTATTAATGGTTATATGTTAACTTGATTAAAAAATCACATATGGTTAGGCAAAAAATATTGTATTTATCCTGCCATTCAGAACACAATATTCAAATTAAGGACACATGGCCCTAACCACATTATGTTTGGAAAGGTAGATCCTATGACTGTGTGGGCCAATAATACTCATACTTTATTTTACAACAGATCGACTGGCTCAGTGATTAATGACTACCCTTATCAATTTCATAATTTCAGGTTTGAAGTTGAATGAAAATTATAGAAACTATCATAATGAAATACCAAAGTGGATGTGCATGCAGGTGAAAATGTCACATTTTGTAATATGTGAAAATAATTTAGTCACACGAATCAATTGTTGTGGATTTAATCCACTTACCAGTAATTAATTAAGCCTCGTTTCCTACATAGTCAGGCTGTGTATACGAGACATTCGCAGCGGTCCCCACCTAGTTATTACGTGAACTTCCGTCGGGGGAAGTTTTATTTTCATCATTTTCACCAAGAAGGAGGTTGATTTGTATCCAAATATATTGTCCATATGTAAATGATAACATCTGATTCCTGAAAACTGTCTGTCATGAGGAAATATATCCAACAGCTCAAATAACTGATGGTCAAATCTCACCACTTTTGGTGGTGACATAGAAATTCGAGGAAATATCTAACTAATAATGTGATAAACATTTCGTTTCAATGTTTGAAATTTTATTAACAATATATATTGTTTATTGTTTATTGTTTCTTTTATTCCCGAAAATTAATCGGAGCAACAAACATAATAATTACAATTATACAGTTACTTTATACAATAGAGAATAATCATGAAATGTAAGAATAACATTTATATTTACATGAAATAGTGCTGCACAAATTGCAGCTTATTTGCAACAGTTAGTAAAAAATTACAAAATGTGTCATCATCTAATTGTTGGAGAACATCTGCCTGACTTCCTAGTATGGCATCAATAAAAACATGTGTGTCAGCAGAAAACAGCTTGACACCAGTATCTATGTCTAAAATTGAGACTAGTAAATTAAAAAGTTCGTCTCTCTCACAGATAATTCTGGTATTTTGGCAATGCAATAGGTAATGCACGATTATGAACTCCTTGGTAATAATAATGGTGTCACACATTTTACACTTCTTTTCATATACATTAGGTAAGGATAAATGGATGAGATTGCCTAAATTCCAAGTGCATTTTGGGAATTGTCTACCCAATTCCCACATTATGCTTGGGCTGAGGTTTGTATGGACGTTACGAAAATATTGTAAAGAGACATTCTGTTGGCAGCTTTCTTGCCATTTGTTCTCCTCAAAAATATGAATTTGGGATTTAGTAAGCAGTCTCCACTTCTCCTTAATCAGATATTTGCCATTACAGATGAATTGTTGAATTTGGTCTGGTATATATTCATATTTTTCAGCCAGATTGTATAGATCATTGATAAACCCTTTCTGTTTAAAAGTTTCCCTGTTCGACAAATAACTTGCCAATCTTAAAATGAAGACTTTTTTAGTAATAAAATGTTTGCATCTACATAATCTGTTGAAAAACCCCAATTTAGCCTTATCGATCCTAGCAGATATTGTCCATAATCCAAGGGTCGATAAAACTACATCGGACGGAAATCTCATGCCAAAACGTTGAATTGCTTTTGTTACTTGACGTTGTGTAAGTTCTAGCAAATAAATGTCTTTTTTGGTTAGGTTTGACCAAAGCTCACATCCAAATAACATGGCAGGTAATATTATGTTGATCCAGATTCTTAATGAAGTAAGAGGATTTGCATCCTTTACAATGCGGACATTGGCAATTGAGTAATACGAATTTTTGGCTTTTTTACATGCATTAACTACCATGTCTTTGCATTTAAAATCACTTCTCAAAGCGTTACCAACGTATTGTTGAGTATTTGCGTTAGGAATAATATCACTGCCTAAGAAGTAACACACTTGATTTCTGGCTTTTGATGTCTCATTGAATGTGACCACGGCGCTTTTGCCGTCTTCCCCAGCATGGTACAGTAACCTCCACTTGCTACTATATTCATATACAATGTTTAGTAGGGTCTGTAGGTCAGCAGGGGAAGACGCCAAAAGAGTCGTATCATCCGCCACTAAAATGCATGGGATTAGAGTATCACCGATAGTTACGCCGACACCTGAGTTACATAGGTCTTCAATAAGACCGTTGATAAAGACGTTAAAATAGATGGCGCTACAGACCCGGCCCTGACCCGAGCCCTCTTTTATTTCAAAAGTTCTCGACATTTTTCCCATATATAATACGCTCGCCATTGTGTCGGTATAGCTATCTACTATTAACTTGAACGCTTTCCCATTTATACCAAGGTTATATAATTTGTGGAAAAGTCCTATCCTCCACAAGTAGTCAAAACATTTTACATTATCCAAAAATGCACAAAATAGTTTGCTTTTCTGTTCACTATAATGGTGAATGGCTTCCGAAAGTACAAACATAGCAAATTGACTTCCAGAGCCTTCCTGATAGGCAAATTGAAGTGGGTTAGGGCATTTTAAAATCTTAAATTTAGGAATGAGTCTTACAGAAACTATCTTTTCCCATAGCTTAAAAAGAACCGACGTGAGTGTAAGACCACGAAAATTATCTGTACATGTGGGATCTTTATTTTTCCCTTTGAATAATGAAATCATAATTGCTATCTTAAAACAAATTGGTAAGCGTTCAACTTTAACAATTGCGTTAAAAATTTCGCAGATCTTTTGAGTTAAGTGTGGACCACCATATTTTAAATGTTCAGCGACCACTTCGTCCATCCCAGGTGCTTTGTTGTTTTGAAACGATTTTACAGTGTTTGAAATTTCTTGACAAGATATGGGTACATCAAAGACACCATCTTGGTTAAATGTTGAATTTACCTTCATTAAGGAGAATTCATGTTCAACTTTAAGCTTATGATTATTATCAAAATGTGAGGCGTTGTGTGGGCTACCAAGTTTTTCAAAGTGATTAACCCAGATCTGTCTTACCTCATCAGCGTCTCTGTAGATAACATCATTTACTTTAAGCTCATGGATGCGATTCGTTGATTGGGCATTTTTGTTTTTAAAACAATTGATTTTCCGATAGAAAAATGCTGAATCAACCTCGCTTGCGTTTTCGAGTTGCTGGATCTGTGAAAATTCATAATCAGCCCTTGCTGATTTTAATTCTTTAGCAAACCTCCGTTTAGAGAGCTTATAAAGCCTATATGAATCGTGTTTTAGACCGCGTGGTTTACCGTCCTGAATCCAAATGGAGCGGTGCGACTTCATGTTCTTATGATGTTCCTTGACAGTATTAGTCCAGTAAGGCTTTAGAAACTTTCTAAATTTCGATTTTGGAATGAAACTATCAGAGCTGTCAATGACTATTCTAACTAAGTCCTCAGTAGCTCTAGAAAGGCTAGAAATTGAATCATTAGGAACTATGAAATGTTCCAGTTTAGAAGAGACTGAGTTAGCATAGTCAGATCTGTTCCGAGCTGTAGCTTTATTCCACCTTAAAACAGATTTATTACTCGATTGAGTAAGGTAACATGTATCTATAGAGAGATCTAGTGAAAGTATAACAGGATGGTGATCGGAGATCTGTAGAGAGTGATCATCCAAAACTGTGCATTTTTTTACTAAATCTTTTTTACACGTAGGAATTGCAAAAAGGTCGACGCAAGACACGTTTTTGCCATTACCGCTGTAAAATGTAAACCACGGACCGTCAGCAAGGTCACTTGAATTAACAGAAAAAAGATTACATTCTAATAACCAATCTTCTATCTTAAGACCCCTAGAATTTGGCGAAATGCTACATCTTGGGCCACTTTTTGCACTCAAATGGCCATTAAAATCACCAGCAAATACAACTGTGCCAAGCTGCTTGTATTTATGGTAAACTTCATACAGAGAATCGAGGTACTCCAGAAAAATATTTTCTGGGTAAGTGTTACATGGCATATAAACAGCAAAGACGAAAATGTAAGTATCCTTACTGACAAGCAATTGAACTCCACAGATTCGGTCATTGACAGGTATCGGTTTTACAATAAATTCTTTTCTGTATAATATAGCAACACCACCACAGCCACGCCTCGGACCATAGTCTATAGAAAGGCGTTTGTCACAAACCGTCAAGGCAGAAAAATTTGAATCAAATGAATCTAGAAATGAAGTAGAATCAGGATAGAGCCAGTGCTCAGTTAAAACGACTATATGTAATAAGGGGAGAAGCGTGGCTAAGTAGGGTGAGCCATACATGATACCTTTACAGTTCCAATTTAAAATATTAAGATTGCTTATCATTAACAATTGGTAGGAGTGCAGTCGTATGACCAGTCGTCCTCAGACATGTTATCGTCGTACTTGTTGCGCGGTCCGAACCAATTGTCGCCAACCTGGTTAAAGTTGTACTGCTTTTCTGAGAGCCAAGGTCTACAAAAAGTGTTGGCTGGCCAAAATTCATTGGATACTGCTAATTGATATTGAGAATTTATAACATTAAGTCTCACCGAGAGTGTTTCAATTCCATTTCTGTTACTCCTTTTTCCGACAACACGCATGTTGGTAACTTTAACGCCACGTTTTAAAGCATACGATATTATAGATTGCCTAAGCTTGTCATATGGAACTGATTTTACATTATTAAGGAGTATGCGTTTTGTACGTTGGCGTTTAAGTGTAGCAACGCCCACGAAGTCAGTATCATGATCATCACTATCTGTACGACTACACTCGTCGAAATAGCGACTATCATGGTCATGACTCGTAGAGTACGAGTATGCAGAGGAGTGCTTTTTTGAGGTAATGATAGACTGGATTTGCTTGGTTTGAGGATTTGGAGATACCTTGCCATGAGGCCAAGGTTTGGAGTACGTGGGTTTTGTTCCATTTATTGGCGCTTGAATAATTGGATTGGGCACAGCGCCAGTGGGTTTACTGTTGGATGTTGATGGAACTGTTGGCGCTATATGCAATTGTGTAGCATTTGTGGTCGTTGACGTAGACTTGACAATTGTGCAGGCAGTGCGAGTTGTTGTAGGCATGACATCAGAACTACAGCACTGAGAAGATGTCGATGTATTTGAGTTTGAACTCTCCACATTATTAGTGGCTTTGGACGAGATGGTAGATGTGACAGGTATGCTGCTGGCAGCTTTGGTCGGTGTACTTTGAATCGTAGACATGACAGGTGTGGTAGTAGTTGAGTGCGTTGTTGTAGGTGTGACCGATAAGTTGGTGGGTGTTGTCCTTGTAGTCGAATTGGTAGATGTGAGTGTTGTCGGAGACATACACTTATTGGGGTATGATTGGCTGTGATAATGATTTATCAATCAGGCACAGCTTATTGTGAAGAGTTTGTATGCTTTTATACATATTGGCATGTGCATCTCTCGCTTCGTCACGAAGATTTTGGATTTCAAGCTTTTGTTCTTGAATTGTTTTGTTAGCCATCTTGATTTCATTACGTAGTCTTTGTTCTTCGTCTTTAGAACGGCTGAGGTCAATTGTTTGAGTTTCAGATTTTTTCCTCAACGACGCATCTTTTTCAGATATTGTATTGCGTAGCTCTTCTTTTAGCTCTGCGAGTTCCACTTTCAATTCAATGATATGAGATAAAATAACTGTTTGTTCTGGTTTAGAATTGTGAGAAGACTTTGCGTCTACACATGTACTTTCAGAAGATGATGGTTTTGTTTTTTTGCGCTGTTTTTTCGCATTTAGGAGATCAATCATTCATAATAAGTCATTACATCAGGCCTGTTTCATTTGTTATTGAGCCTCTTCATATCCTGACCTTGAAATGAACGGAATGCACCAATGTCGAGGTCACTTCATACACTTATATATAAATCACCATTTCCATCACTGTTGACATTTAATGTTTGTCCGGCAGAGTTTGTCCAAAACTGTATGGCCATCATTCACTTGTTTTGCAGTTATCGCACTTGTGTGGATATTGACACTGTCCTGTGTATTGATGAATTGTTCGAGTGTGGTGGAGTCACTTGTACAATAGTGTCAGAATCTGAAATGAAACAAGGACAAGGATTCTACTGTTATATCTCGTTATATTAGCGTGTACACCGCGCTAGTAGAAAAGAAATCAGTGTTCCATACGACAGACCCTACAGGGTGTTCCAAAAGTAACAGGACTGGTACTGACATTTTGTCAATTTTGCACCGATTGTCTTCAAATTTTCACAAATTGTACTTTGAAGTATTGCAACTAAAATTGTATGGTTTCAGAAAAAATGATGAAATGCGGGTAGAGTTGTGGTTACTATCGTAACATGACATCTCAATACCCGGGGCAACTTTTTTCTGAAAATGTGATATCTAACATTTTTTATTACTGAAGAAAGTATCTAATTCACCTATTATAATACAACATTTCTTGTTTATATTATTAGTTGCTTTGTTGTAAAGGTGTTGCTATAAAACTCAGATTCAAGTATAATTTCATTATAATTATATTTATTCAATTTCCTAGAATATCACTATGAATTATAGTCTGAACAATTCATGGTTGAGTTTTTGAAAATACCCAATTTTAAGCCAGTCATCCACCTTGATAACACACCTGCCCGCAGGCGACCATTAAAGATCATGCCGCTATAGAGGAGCTAGGTCTTGAGTTCTAAAACCATGCACCATACTCTTCTGATCATGCAACATCCAATTTTAACTTATATGGAAAATCGAATGCTAATCTGCTGTAAGATCTTTAAAAATGAGAATGACCTTCTCCAAGGACCATGCGTGACATGTCCTCAAATGGGTTCAATCATGTGTTTGAGTCATGGATACAGAGTGCTACTCTTCTACTGACCAAAGAGGAGCCTATTTTTCAAAGTACATAGGATACATAGGAATATCAAATTATGTAAAACAAATGTAACCAGTTGTTGCATTTTAACTTTGATATGGGATGTACAAAATGCTTAATGTCTCTTTCTGTCTTAATGTAACTTTCTCCGTGGAATGTTGCCCCGGGTATTGTGATGTCATGTTACCATAGCAACCATAACTCTACCCGAGTTACATATTTTTTGTCGAAGCTTTTCAGTTTTAGTAACGATACATAAAAGTACATTATGTAAAATTTTGAAGACGATTGGTGCATATTCAACAAAATGCCAGCACCAGTCCTGTTACTTTTGGAACACCCTGTATATGCTGATCGGCCAATGATTGTGTTCTAGTACCGTTTTTGAAATGCAACGTTAACACAACCACTCACCTATTTCATTTTGAGCCGGGTCACTCATCTGTCGTTTCAGCTCTAACTCGGTTTCTATGTGATCTTTTTCTTCCCTCAAAGCATCTAGAAAAATAAATTTATTGTTTACTTTCTGAAAGCTCACTTCTCTCTGACATTCCTAAATTATAATTTAAAGGTTGCTCTAACAAATATTTTAAGAAATGGTAAAGTAGATCGAAAAAGGTTGACATTATTGAATTTGTAAAACTTTCGAAAGCGAAATCAAACTGATTGAATAGAGTGGCATACCTCTTTCAGCAACTGCCTCAGTTAACCTGTTGGCCACGACGAATGAAAACTTATTTTCACCTGTAAAAAAATATTTCTCTCATATTTTATTTAATGCAATGATGGCATTATATAATTCGCACATTAAATTTAGCCTCTGCTAAGCGGAGGTGAGAAAATATCCAAGACAAAGGAAATGTCTAAATCAATATATCGAAGGCTTACCTTCGTAACGTTCTGGAATAGACAGGTCGGTTCCAGCCTCTGTGGTAGTTGTGCGTTTCTTTTAGAAAATCATTCTCAATCGTCTCCATGCTTTTTGTATAGACTTGATTGCCATTTTTCAGATTTTTATCTGCTCTTGCTCGTTTTCACGTTAAACTGTTCAAACATTTGGCTCTCCTTTTGTCAAAGATGACATACACGACCCTTTGATTGGTAATGTAATAATAAAAAACGTTTCTTTTTTAATAAAAAAATCAAATCAATGTGATGTCACTGTTCTAGCCTGAACTGCTTCAAATTAGAATCAGAGACATTGAGCAAATTGTTCCAAAAATTATCTTTTCAGATATTTTGGATCAATACCCGTCGTTTTTCTAAATTTCTTCAAGAGTTTCAAATACAAGGATTTTAACATTTTTATATTTTGGATACTCCCATTTTTATTATTTTTTATGACAGACAGACATGTAAGCTACTAAGCTTATCCTGGGTGCTACATGTATGCTATACTTTCGAACATGTGCCCAGTTCTGGAACTCAACAGCAACGATTTTCGATCCATACTGAAACGGCAGTGATTTGACCTTGACCCCAACTGGCGCAGCAACAATCCATTTTGTTCCCACTATTGCCTGATTATGTATGAGTAGTCCTCTCTAAATTACTTTCATGAAAAAATAATTATGACTTATTTTAATAACGTAGGGTGTTACAGAAATGAATTACTGCATGGGATTAATCTTTTTGAGATAACTTTAACCTTGATTTAAGGTAACAAACTCTATTATTTGTTTTGAATGGATATTATTCCGATCATTTTGGTTTGAGCAGACACTACTTATACTCTTGATGATACAACCAGTAGACTAGAAGTGTAATTGAAGCGTGCCTTGTGGCTGGCGTTAAAAAATTGTTGGCCACATTATATAAGTGATTCAAGCTTGTGGCATAATCCCAAAACCCAATTCAAGTTATCTAAAATCTGTTTTTCTTAAGAAGCCACGCAGAGATAAATCACTAGGTTCACGACAAATCACATTAGATGAACAACTAGATCACAGCGGACACATCAACTGAGTTCCAATTGATGTCAAAATCAAAAATCAACAATTTGAGGCGATTCCGAGGGTAATAATAACAACTTTAGAGCAAAGGTTATTCATACAACTATTTGCTCCGATTGGCATCAATTTGATTACATCGTTGGAAAAAATATGGCACCTCAAAGTTTCGAACCAGGTAAGTTCATAGATTCATTAATTAGTTGATTTTCAATAGAATATAAAGTAATTTACTAATTACTTTTGATTGAATTTTTATTGATTGAAATCAGTAATTAGAAAATGGTTAAGTACTAAATAATGTACGTATTACATATCACTGGTCTTTTTTGTAATTCATTGCCAAAAACAGTGCCCGCCTTTTTAATTTCCCAATTCACGCAATGTACAAAATAAGAGAGTTACATCATTGAACAACTCATCCTAGCATCTAGCACAGTTAATCACCAGTTCTCCTATTTGGATATCTCAAAATCGTATCAGTTAACTGTGACATGGGTTACCTGTTTTATGCACATTGCTCTAAATATATCATTATATCAGTAAAATAAATACCATATAATTACCATTCACTCTGCCTCATGGTGAGCCTTGTCACCATGATCGTTATAAAAAAGATGTTCAAAAATGAAAAATTTAATATGATACAAAACTCGCACAAGCTGGGAGATCGTAATAACATACCATCCAACTTTGGTCCTCTTCACACTGTGTTCCCGTACAGTAGTTACATTTAGTTTGTACAATGTACAATAAATAATTTTGGTGAAATATCAAGAGAGGAGTTTCCATGCTAAGTGTCAAATATATGATGCAAAACTGATTGTGAAGAGTTGGAAAATTTACTGCATATAAGACAAGAATATTCAATGTACCGAATAGGATCTGGACCTTAAAGAGTTAAAAGATTATACTGACGATTATTGAGAGGTACTTCGTTTGTGTATTTGGTATTATTTCATAGATTTACTTTGCTGATGGTTGTCATACTAGTAATTAGAAATATGTATTCATTTTTGGTTATATCTGGCAAAATAAGCAATGCCGTGTGCTTAATGCATATATCTAAGACGAATACGTTTATGGTCATGGTGATGTATTCGCATTCTTCGCAGTGAAGTTTTCATTTTGAGCGTTTTTCTTGGCGTACGTCATCATGTTAATCTATTTATTGGATGTACTCATTCCCAAATTTAAGATATCCACACTTTTCAAACCTCATTGTTTTATTCCAGCAAAAATGTCAACACTATGGCGACAAAAGATGAAGACGTTTTTCAAATATCACGACTTCGATAAAGATGGATTTCTTCAGCGTGCTGACTTCGAAGGAATCGTTTCGAGACTCGTTAAGTTCTACCTTAGAAACCCCCGGGGTAGAAACCACGAGAAAGCTTACGTTGATGTGGAAATGCGCCGCAAGCTGCGACAAATTTTCGTTGAGTTCCTCTGGGGCGATCTGGTTGCCGGTGGTGGTAACGTCGGAGCAACGCGGAAGGTTACCCTAGAAGAGCTAATCGAAAATCTATCCGCGTTGATTGAAGATAAAGAGGGCCTGGATTTGTTCAAGTCTTCTTCGCGTGAGGCTGCCTACCATTTCTTCGAGGTTGTGGATACTAACTGCGATAATTTGATATCTCCTGATGAATTCAGAAATTTCACTGATGTTTTCGCCCGTGTTTTCGGGAGGACCAATGACGAGAAACACGCCCAGAGAGCATTCACTAACATCGACACGAATAAAGATGGCTTTATAAGTAAAACTGAGTTTGTAGCAGCTTACGAGGACTTTTGGGTTGGAGTAACTGAAGGTGTAGGAACATACATTCTTGGTGACCTAATTTAAATTTAGACTAGATCTAAATGGCCACCGGATACAATGGACACAAATATCACAGACCCGTACCAAGGGGGATTGGATGGGAACCCCCCCCCCCCCCCTCGGCCCTCACTCTGGCCAAAAATTTCAAAATCATGCAGTTTTTCATAATTCTGAACACTTTTAAAGTGATTTTGGCCATTTTTGAACTCAAATTGTCAAAAGTGACCCCCTGGAATATTTCAAAAGATGAACCCTCCCTTGGCAAATCCTGGCTACGGGCCTGCATCAAGCGGGTTCTTACACAGTCCCCCTTTCTGTTTTTATAATAGAACGAGCATACGAGGACTGTAAGAGAAAGCCCATGACACAACTTAGACGATAAAATACCTATTTTGCTGTATATTTTTTAGAAGTTGATCCGTTAATCAGGGCAATGTTTGAAAATCTAAGACTGTAAATGCTTTAACTTGAATATATTTCCTAATTATATAACTGTATAACGGCCAGGGAATCGGGATTCTATTTGTTATCTATATTAATCACGCATTGTTAACCTAGAACTCGAATTTATAAATTAAATGTGTAAAACGTGTATAATTCTGATTAAATATAATTTTTTATTAATTGTTGCATTTCACCTTTGGTCTATCTCTTTCTCGATTTTCCATTTGTGCATAAATTTGTAACATGATTTTGAAGAGTTTGGATGTAAATTGGTCCAGTTGTCGAATTTCTGATAAGAAGGCCAATGAAATTAATATACAGGTATCAATCGGACTTTTTGATTTTAATCTGTTTCACTTGGGTTAGGAAACTGGGCAGAGATCTAAAAATTGTCTCATTGATTGTATGAGTTCATATTTAATCCTTTGAGGTTGTCTCTCAAGGGATCATCTCAATTTGAATATATAATATTTAACTTATCCGAAACATTACAGGCGACAACAAACGAGGTGATATTTCATGTTTAATCACATCATATAGATATTTTATATTATGTACTTTTAATCCTATTATGGTATGTAAGTGGCGACAACGCATCCCTTTTATGCTCTTTGATGGTATTAGAGTCGGTAATATAATAGGGAGGTGTTGATATCACATATTTAGGGAAATTAATATGTATCTATAATCCTTTAGCAAAAGTTGCAAATCCTTGGTAATATGCACCATGATAGACCATGACATCTCATTTCTTTCTCAGCCCTTCCCGGGTGAAACAGAAAGATGCAATGCTGCGTATCAGAATGGGTAATATGGTAGGGCTATTACCAATGATCCAGATGTGAATGAATTATCACCAAATACAACCCGGGAGATACATGCCCCATGATTGCCATGCGTGTTTAGGCCGTTCAAACAAATTTTAAAAGAAGACAGTCGTTCCGAGATAAACATCAACAAAAAAAAATAGAAAGGTTGACGGATTGGTGACCTGCGTTTCGGGGTAAAACCTAAACTGCAATAACAACGGAAGTTGTATTTTCAAATGGAGGACCAGGATTTCTGTAACACTACAGATGATGCAGATGTAACCTATTAATTTAACGCCCCTCATTGAATCACTTGGAATTTCACTCCTTCCCTATAATTAATAAGTAGAAAATAATCCCTGAATTTCAAATATAAATATTAATCCAGATTAAAAAAGAAGCAGAGAGTATTGGTGTTAAAATACATTTGTACCAAAATTACCCGGGCGCGATTATTGGAATGTTTGGGTTATTTCCAAATCGCGTTCAAATCAAGTTATCAATCGGGTAAAAGCAAATATGATGGCTATGGCTGCGAATATACAATGCTGAACTCTTCAACTACATGTAGAGGAGGAAACAACCCATTAATTTTTGAATAACTTTCTCAATAATTGACGAATCTCGAACGTGATTTTTTATGTGTAGATAGAGGATTCGGTGGAAGAAAGAACAATTGGGAAATCTAAGATATCTCATTTTCTGCGGAAGCATGCTTTAACACAAAATCACTCAAATATTTTTTTGAAATTTACCCAAATAAGCGAGTCGATCACGAGTCAGTTCATTAAAGGCAAAATTATTTTTATTATTAAAGAGAGAATCAGATACAGCGAGCAGGACAACAAAAAAAATTGTTTCAATTTTTGAATATTTCTAATCCATGTCATTCCTTGCAATTGTCATGTCTATTTTCTAAAAATTCCCAAACTGCACACTTTAAAAACTAACGATTTTTACAATTATGTATTATTTTTCTGCTAGAATGGCTAACCATTTTTATTACTTAGGAGAATTTAAACATATTTCACCCATTTTTGCACTTTGAATCTATGTAGTAACTTCACCAATTTATAACATACATCGTAATTTTTGGGAGATATTGTATTTGAGATTGTAAGGAATAGATCGGTGGGTCAATTGAACATGTTGCTTGCAATCTTGTCGCCCCTATAGATCTGATTTTGGCTTTAATAATAATGTGAAAGTAATCTGGAGATTGTATTTTTGAACATTTTTTGATGATTTCTTAGAGGTCATACCTGGACGGAAAACATGTTATCTCTTAACTATTCAGTTGTGCTATACGCGTACAGCAATACTTTATCCATTGAACACTACACTGTATCTAGATAAAAATCATGAAGATCCCTTCATTTTTAAGAAAGTTATCAAAAAATAGTGGGTGGCATTTTTTGAGTCACCCTGTATGCGGGCAATTTTGGTAATGTAGGTTTTATCGCGCTTCAGATTTAATAACTAAAACTCCAGTGCAGTGAACACCGTGACCATGATATTCGATTATATATGAATGTGGTGGTAATACATGGAGATATTGGAAGGCGGTGGTAATTTATAGAGAGATGATGGTAATATAAAAAGATTATAGGAATATCCTATGGTTTTGAAAAAATATCATTTATATCCATGAGTGGATATTGATATCTTTATGAGTGAGCGCAGCGAATGGGTGAAGATATTGATATCCATGAGTGGATATAATTGATATTTTTGAAAAACCATAGGATTGTCCGTTTATCCCATGGGAAATCTTAACCCAGCGAAAAACTGTTTACAAAAAATTTAAAAAAGATTTCAAAAAAATTTTGAAAAAATATTTTGAAGTAAAAAATCTAAAAAAAAAGTTTGAGAAAAAAATGTGACAAAAAATTATTTAAAAAATCTAAACCTTCGAATATCACGTTTGAAACCATCGAATATCATTTTTTGAGAAGTGATATTCGATGGTTTGAGAAGTGATATTCGATGGTTTGGGGATTTTTTGCTAAAATAATATATCTTGAGATCCAAAATATCAAATATATCTTCACCTGATATTCGATCTGGCCGATAAATTGAAATACTGACGGTGAGTATAGGAAGATATTGTTGGACGGTGGTACATGGCGAGGAAGATCGTGGCAACGACTTAGGCTATTGAGATGGTGATTGAAAGACGGTTGTAATATGGGGAGATATTGGAAGACGGTGGTACATGGAGAGGAAGATCTTGGCAAGTGACTTAGACAATGGAGGTGGTGGTACTTGAAAAGGAAGTATTGCAAGATTGTAAAAATATTACCGGGAGATATTGGGAGATGGTGGTAATATGGAGATGTATTGAAAGATGGTGAGTAACTTATACGGACTCTTACAGAGATAGTAGTAATATGAATAAAATAAATTCCGGATTGAATAGGCCCGGTGTGAAAGCAGTACTGTCAACCCCTAAAGATTTTCTCGCGGGACAGATTTTTTAGACCCAGTGCCCAAAATTCGCGGGATTTTGCGGGACATCTACTAAATTCGCGGGATTTTGCGGGACATTTAAGGGATTTGCGTGATTGCGCTAATAGGAGATTTTTTATCAAATTCGCGGGATTTCGCGGGACCATTCGAGGGACAAACACCCTAATTGCGGGACAGTTAACAGGTGTACCACCAAAAACTTCATAGAGGGACAGATTTTTTAGACAAAGTGCCCTAAATTTGCGGGATTTCGCGGGACATCCACCTAAATTTGCAGGATGTCCCGGGACATTCAAGGGATTTGCGTGATTGGGACTAATGTAAAAGCGTGTAGAAGTACTTAAATCAAACTTTCAGATACTGATTAATCAAATATAATGCACCGTTACATTGTAACTTAAATAAACGTCAACACAATTTCACAAAATACGCATAGGAATATTATTAAACTTTATTGTAATTTATCAATAAACATGCTTCAGGTGTGATTACCGTAATCATGGGCATTCAATAGAAGGGTCTGCAACTCTGTGTATAAACATGAGAACTTCAAAATGAGCAGTGCCATGCTTCCCGTTTTATGGTAATATTTCAAAAAGTATTAGATAAATGTATATGTTTTCGTATTATTTTGAATAGAAATCAATTTTCACGTATGATTAAGCATAAAATATATTCAATCTCATGTAAAGGTAAACAAAAAAGACCAATAAGAATAAGAGGTATCAAGATGTTCTCTTTGAGTGTTGAATTGTGGGTATCTGACATGCATTAGTATTGTTTTTATTGGGTGGTATTAAAATACCCCCATGGTTTTTTGGGGGTAGGGGTATAAATTGGTCTGAGGGCCGTCTGCCACCCCTATAGAAAGTCCAACTACCCAGAAAGTGTCCAGTATAATCATACAGATGGTTTGAAATAGGTTGGAATGTGTAACCTTTCATGTAAGGAAGGTTGCATTTCTAGAGCACTTCTACAGAATGGGTCACAGTCTATATTAAGAAAGTGTAAATAAAAATCGAATATAGTATTAGTATCCAAGTTAGAAGTACGTTAAAAATAGTGCAAGTGTGCAGAATATATTAATATATAAAATCTCGCGTATAACAAATATGAGACATTCAATTATTTTGGACTTAAACTTTCAGTTTGTCCAATTCGCCGAAACGATCATTTTCGGGTTATTGTATTCAAATGCCGAAGATTTAAACGTTCAGTTTATTTGAGGCACGTGGTTCTGATTATATAATTATTTAATCATTGTTAATTTTAATAATTGGGTCTATATTCATAACCTTTTATGCTTTTATCTTATGCTGCCAAGGGTTCCTCCAACAAATATTGTATATAGTAACAGTATCTAATTACTCGTATGAACACTGTACAGTGCACAGAACTGTTTCAACTTTCAACTATCCCGACATATATGTAATACATGTTTTATTCTGCATATATGCCACTGGCGGATTAGGGGGGGGGGCCCAGGGGCCCGGGCCCCCCCCCCCCCTTGGGTGGGCCCAGAAAAAAAAAATTGGGCCCAAAAAGATTTTTGGGCCAAACAAGGCCTTCAGGCCCCAAAAAGTGGGCCTTTTTGGTCATTACTGGGCCTTTTAAGGCCTTATT